TTCATTCACTCGTGGCGATCTAACGCATCAAACCTAGAAGGGGATTGGGGAAGGGTTCTTAGCAAATGAAGTTTGATAAGTAGAAGTTTTTAAATTGAAATTCAATAGAGCATCTAAACTTTTGTCGCTTTTGTGCACGCTCATGACTATGTATTTACTACACGGGACAAACTCTCATTCCTTACCGAATAGTTATTCTGCATTACATCCAAGAATCTTGTCTGCTTTTCTCTCTTAGTCACTCATGTGTGAAACTGCGTGATAAGGTAATACACGAGTGCATTCTTAATTGTGCATGTCCTTTACCAAACCATCGCCCAATTACGAATGACGTACAAAACAAAAAGAAATATATTTTGTTCACTTTAGGTGGCATGCTTCAAAATATGATTTGGTGAAATTATGGTCTTTCAGCGAACCGAATCCTATGTTAACGAAGGTCGATGTACACACGTGTAATCAGAAGCACACACGGTATCAAAAATATTACGAGTACCCGTTTAGCTCCTGAGCCCAAGTGATAGCTAAAACGCCCCAAAAGACGCAAGAGGCCATTGGAAACAGTTATCGGAAGTCTGTTCCTTGTGCCAGGTCCGTGCATTTACAGTTTCGAGACTCAAGATCAATTATAAATTAATTTGGTGGCTAGAGAAAGAAAAACTCGAAATAAAAAAATCCCAAAAGTAGCCTCATAATGACGTAAGAAGCTAATAAAAAGCACCAAAAAGCACAAGCTCCGTCAATTATCATTAAAAATGATTTTAAAACCTTTTACACGAGTTAAGAAGGTTTGCACGCGGTTTGGACGCGGTTTGTTTCCAAACCTTCTCGTACTCTGAGAGAAACAACTCCTAGGCAGTGCAAGGTTTTTCCTTCCCCTTCGCGTGCGAGGCATTGATCGATCAAATCCTTTATTTGACAACGATAATTGTTAAAGCTGTAAAGTTTGAGGGATCGTTTATCTAAGGATCTAATGTGCTAATGGACTTACGAAAGTTCGCAATTTGTCCAAAACCAAAGATATACAGCCATTTCGAAAAGGTAAAGCTAACTAAATTTCATGCAAATTGCAGTATTTTGAGGGTTTAACTTTACAGGTGTTATGTGTAAATAAAATCTTCTGATATGAAACTACATGTAGCATGCTGAGGCATGCTGAATAACTAATGAAACGGTTTTTTTATATGTAAAGAAGAGATTTCATGACTCGATCACTATTCAAGTCTATAGCTAAGTTTACGATCAGTAAGTCGATTAAAACAGGGGCACTGATAAAACCTGAAGGATCTAGGAAATAGAGGGGAATGGCTTTCCCCTTTTGTTCGTTCTCAGGCCTGGTTTGTTCTCAACATGTTCGCTAATTTTCGGCCGGAAGACACCCATGCACTCAGTTCGATAACGTTGAAATGGTAGGAGGGTGGGTACAAATGTACTACAATTCTAGATTTTGTACGCTGTTTGAAATTTCCTTGCTTTTTTGTTCACTTACAGCAAGAGCAGACACCAATTGCTTGTACCGAATCAGCTTATTGTCATTTGATGCAAATTTCTACGTAATATTTTTAATTATTCAAGATTGTCTCTTTATTGAGTGACAGCCGGTATTGGATCTTGTGACTCCCATTACAAGTGACGTGTAGCCAAAACCCGGGATTCGTCAGAGCTGCGCCAAGAACCTGAGCCGTAAACTTGGCCAAGGTAAGCCGAGAAGAGACAATTGAGACGTTTCACCCGCCAGCGTTGAGTCGCCTTTTCCGCTGCTTCTACAATAACAAAATCCCCAACTTCCGCGCTCCGTAACGATCTCATATTAGTGTGGTCCACGCTTACTCATCGTTGGCTAGAAATTCCCTTTTTCTACATTTTGAGATCTATTGTATGACTTTCCATAGAAAGCATTCAAAGTATTTTTTTCCAATCGTGTGAATATCTTAAAGCCAGCTACAAAACTGTTTTTCAAAAGAAAATACCGAGATGACTTCATCGGAACTTTCCTTCGAGACCCCTCGAATCCCACTGACCTTTGTAACTTTCACTCTACCCCAGGTTTCCTAAGTTTCTATAATGGCGGCTTTTTTACGTGAACGTCGTATTCCATGGAGAGTTCGGGCGCTCTTTGCTGAGAAAGGGTTTGTTTTAAACGTCTGTAGGCATCTAAGAAGGCCTGAACATATCGGAAATTACATTCAAAGGAAGGTATTTTTCTGTAATCGTATTTACAAACGATGAAAGTCGAAATGGAATTAATTCAGCATTCAATATAAATTTTGCAAGTCACTATATGTTAGGCCATGTTCCATGTGCGTCAACTTTCACGCTATCTCGGATAGACTACGCTTTTAAACCAAGACTTGGAACTGAAATGAGATCCACCATAAGTCTGAAGAGATCACTGAAAATCACTTGACCCTACTTGGGTAAATTCATTCTCCCAGGATGGTTACCCACGGATTCATATGAGCTCCTTCTTCACCTTCATTAATAGTTTTCTCAAGTTTCCTTATTACAAGAACGTAATTGCAATGTTCTTTTTCCTTTTTAATTAAGTGTAGTTTCTTTTAAAGGAAAGTACAGTTTGCTCTTATCATTTTCAGTGTAGGTAATTGGAGTTTTAGGGTAATGTTTACTAGTGCTGCAATATTCCAAACTTTCCTTAGGAAATAGCTGATGGCTGCAATAGTGATTCTATAAATATTTTTTTAATCCAGCTATCCTGCATATTATCTCGTTGTTACAGAATGAGCTTCATCCCCTTTAGGCTGTCAATTGCTTGAAGTTTACAACTGGATTTTGCTTGCATAAGCTAATTCTTAATTTTTAAACAAATAAAGTTTAAAAATAGAAAATGCCCACTCTTACAAAGCACTCCCAGAAAGCTTTCAGGGTCACCTGCAGGATAGCTGCTTATAAATACATTTATTTACATTATGTCACTACCTGTTCTAGATTTACCTCGCTAGCAACCAGCTAGTAAAGAAATCTAAATTTGGTGGCCAACTTTTTCCTCCTTTACTTTCCCTTACTTGGTGGGGAGCATCAAAACCTCAGGACACAGGGACACCACAATCAAAGGAAATGAGTGAGCTAGAACTTGATATCAAAACAGCAGATGAGTTATTTGATGAGACCAGAACACAGGAAGTGTATGACCTACTACTAAAGCACAAAGATTTGCAAAAAGCTGAGATTGAGTGGAGATTAGCAAGAGCATGTCGAGTATTGGCTGAAGAGTGTGACGATGCAGATGCTAAGAAAAGATTGACATATGAAGCTCTAGAACATGCCAAACTCGCTTTGGACCTTGATGACAAGAATTATGCAAGCCACAAGGTCAGTAATACTGCAGATTCCATGTCTATTTTGGAATCATTATGTAAGGAAACAACTTTAGTGACCATAAATTGATGTCTATTTTGGGAGTTTTGGAGCTCTTTTTTTGAAAATGAAGTCACGGACTCAGAGGTAAATCTAAAACAATTTTATGGGTATTATTTGGCATCTTTGATGTTGTGAAATCATATGCTTTTAACTCCTGATTTAAGTTAGTGGATAATTTATTTTCATTTGTTAAATTAAAACTGTTATTATTGTCAGAAAGATTTTGGGGATCCTGATATATTGAACACACAGTCATACTACTTTGATTTAAAAAACATGGTACAAGATCAAGATGTTGCTCTGAAAAAATTACAAAAGCCAAGATTGCAGCCAACTTTCATATATGGTTTTTGTTTGTTGGGGGAGTTGGTGGGGGGGAGGGCCAGGAGATGCATTTGAGATATAAATTAAGTACATTGCTCTCCTTGAATTTCCTGCAGTGGTATGCCATCGGCCTTTCAATTGTTGGTGACTATGAAGGAAATAAGGCTAAACTAGAAAATTCTAAAATCATGAAGGATCATTTTGAGGTAAGACACATGATCACTATTGGGAAAACTGTACACAAGAATCACGTTGCATGAGTTACAAGGTGTTTACACTGATAGAATAGTTTTAAGTCAGACTATCCTTCCAAATAGTATAGTTTATTTCACCATCTCTTTAATATTACCAGCATTTTAGAGTCAGTAGATTTGAATTTTATTATAAGTAATACATAACCAGACAGTGTGCTGTTGTTTTCTAATACAGAGAGCGATTGAATTAAACCCAACTGATCCTACTTCAAGATATTTACTGGGCCTCTGGTAAGTTAACCCTGCAGAGCAAGTATCTATACACATCTAACTGATTATTTTATTATTAAAGTAAATTAAATTATTGCAAAAAGTCAGTTTCTAAATTGATTGTAGTAGTAAATAATCAATAATATTAAACTTCTTATCCTTTTTCAGGTGTTTTACATTTGCTGACATGAATTGGTTTACCAAAAATATGGCTGCTGCTCTCTTTGCTACACCACCATCTTCTTCATATGAGGAGGTAAATGAGTAAGATGTTCATGCTGACTGATACATAAAATAATGAAAACTTTTAAACCCTCAGTATCCATATTCTTCATACTCTTTTCTGTTTATTTCCTTTGGTATCAGTAAGGATAATGCATCTAACAATTAAGAGCTTCTGAAGGTGGTGAACATTTCCTTGATTCTCATAAGCTTATGAGCCCAGCAGCTTCCTGGGTCTCCTTGCCTTCTGTAAATTATAGTGCTATACCAAAAAAAATTTGTATTGTTGAAAAGGCAAATAAATGATGATGAAAATGAAATGGTGACCTTAACATACTGTTAGAAGAAATAGACTCGGGTCACCAGTAGGGTTTAAAGGGTTCAACTCAGTTACAACTATAACTTAACAGTGACTCTCTCAGTGCCTGTTGGGTTAGGCAGGTCTTGTAATAAATTTCTTTGCCCAATTTAAAATTGAATAAACAAATTTTAAATTTAAGTATAGCTAAGCAATAATTGATCATAATAATTCAACATTGAAATTACTGCTCAGGGTTTGTTTACATAAACTACAGTCACTGTAAGTAGTACATTTTACCAGACAGCTATGGAACAAACTGAATTACTTAATCATGTAACACATTTTCTTCCTATCACAGGCTTTGTCACACTTTCAAGAAGCTGAAAAGTGTAAGATTTATTTTGAGGAGAAAAAAATTATGACAACTTTTGAATTTTTTAAATTAAGTCTGCATCTTTTTCAGCCTAACTATTTTTATGAATTTCACACAGGGTGTAGATAATGTTGACTGTCATTAATCTTACCATCATAGTGTATTCTTGGTGTGGTATGTTACTGTACTGTCTTGTCGATATCAAAAGTCAGTTTTTAAATTTGGAAAATTGTATTTCAGTAGAGCCAAACTTCTTCAGCAAGAACCATCTTATGCTGGGAACAACATTATTCAGGCAAAAGAAGAGGGAAGAGGCTAAAGTGTGGCTTAGTAAAGCAGTAAATGAGAATCCACTTAAAACAAAAGACGATGAAAAAGTATGTACCCTGGCTGTTGATAATAATGAGTAACAGATATTTCAAGTGAAAAAAAGCACAGACTTTTCTCATTGTGAGGTACTTAGAGTGTTACCTTTGTTTACCGTCCATGCCAGATAGACTTAAAAAAATGAACTTCATTTTAGCTGCTATTTCTCCACATTGCTAAACTCATTGGTTTTGAAAATTTACAGAAAGCCAAAATCAAGGTTTGAAGGCATCAAATACAAATTTTTTTCTTTTTTTCACAGGCAAAAGAGGAGGCTGAGGAGCTACTTAAACGTTTATAAACTACATTGATTTCAGAGAGTGGATTTACAATTAGGTTCATCATTAAATATGTTGTAAGGGTTGGCCTATTTCAAATTGCATTAAACACAATATACTGACAAGAAAACCAATTTGTAGATGCATTTATTTATTAGAAATTAACATCTAAAATTCTAGATTCCATGGTTCTAAACCAGGATTACAAATAACTGTGGAGCAAAGTCTGTGGGAAAGTTTCCTCTCTATGGAAATCAGTACATTTCATTAGTTAATTAGAATTGAAATGTTACACTGGCATACATATTTAACAGCTGACTAAGGGTCATGTATAGTCCTCAACTATGAACAGTACTCAGATTATGATAAGGAAACCTGACTAGTTTCAGCATGGGTTTAGTAACTGGAAGATAAGACTTTCAGTTCTGCCTCATGCATTTGTATCAACAAACTGAAGTGTTACATGGTGGTCCCTCCTGCCAGTACTTGACAGCAACATCGCATGATTGCAAGGGTGAGATTTAAGCAGCATTTGTTGTTGAAATGCTGTGGGTGCTATCTTCTGGAAGATGCTGAGAACCCAGGTGACAGACATGAGTGTGTTAGGAGTAAAACCTAGTACAAGGTTTATAGCAGCATATGTTGTTACAATACTGTGACTGCTATCTTCTGGGAGAAACTGTGAACCCAGGTGACACACACATGTGCGTGTCAGGTGTAAAACCTGGTACAATGCCATCTGGGCTGCTGCAGCTATCCAAGTAATCTTCTCCTTCATCCTGGAAAAATAAAAATAATGCTGGAACATTTAAAAAGTGTTACAAATAAACCATACCATGAAAATTTAATGTGCATACCCTTGATTGTTCTCTGCACCTTATATTTTTGTTGTTTTCAATTAAATTTTTTAAGGGTTAGGGTTTGGGTTTGCATTTCTTTTGCAATGGATAGTTTTCAGAATATCTTGTTCAAAATCTGCTACACTCAGTGTGTGTGAGGCCTGCTCAGTTTTACCAATGAGAATTCCAGAAATACAAACCCATTAAAACTAATATTGATATTCTTTTCTAGTTAAAACTGATCTGACAACATCTTACATATGTTTCTGAATGTTTCCTTTGATCATCTTCTTCTTCATCATCATCGTCATCATCTGCATCGTGTTCCAATTCCTTCCATTCATGATAGAGTGGCTTGATAAACTTTGATGATCTGTTTTCAGTAACATTACCTCTCAAAGTTAATACTAGGTCAATAACTAATTGTTACTAATGAGACTAAGTTTTGTTACTATATCTTTTGTTGTGAACTGTTCAGCTTTTCATTAAGAAACCATGAATGGTCACCAGGATCTTACAAAATATTGTACAAGAGTTAGGTTGGGAGAAAGAGGGCATTTTTAGGTAAATGTGAAGAAGATACGGAAGCAAGTACATACAGTGTACTCCACAAATGTATTTCTATTTACTGTTTTCAAATATGAGGGGTTTGGATCAATGTTGGTCTACTTAACACTGTCTGGCTGGCTGTTTATAATGCATTGGTATCATGTCTACCAACAGGTTACCAACTTCTGTACGTGGGAGCTATCTTTTCACTTTTACCCATGTTTGTATGTGTATTAAAAACTTTTATGCCACAAGTAAAAAGCACGATTTTGTACTCACCTTTTCAAAAGGTAAGGATCAAAAGGAAAATAAGAATCTAACTGGTTCTGGAAAGATAAACTCCTCACTGCATGGCTGGATGCTGTTGTTGCCACTGGCAACATCATTCTGTTGTTTTGTTCAATAATTGTATAGCAAAAAACCAGCTCGTAATGTCTGTTGATTTAAACCAGCCATTTAGTATGTTCCACAAAAGGCAATTTGATTTTACAAGCTAGTAACCCTTGAATAAAAGGTGAACTAAACATTGCTTGAATGAACCAGAAACTCTGTTACTTGCTTACAATAGAAACCATTTGAGGGTCTGCAAGACAATATGTACAATAGAAACAATTTGAGGGTCTAGAGGGTAATGCACATAGTGATAAATACAATTTTACCTTGTGATATATGCAAACAATTTAACAATGCTTGGTAAGCAAACCTACATAAAGGTCAGAGCATAAAGCAAAAATGATTAGTTGATGTACTTTTCGAATCTTATGACAATCACTTCGAACTTAAAGTTATTTGCATGTATGCTTTACACAGAAGTGGTTTTAACCCTTTAACTCCAAGGAGTGACCAAAACAGAATTTCTCCTTACAATATCAATATGTAGTCAAGAATACAAGTGACGAGATTAAATGTCAATTTGGCAATTGTGATCCAATATCAAATTCTCTGAAGTAACATGAGAACTGCATGGCAGACAGAAAGGAGAATTGATTGTGAGATCTGGGAGTGAGACTGGGTAAATACCCACCCCTGCCCTACAGCCCTGCACACTGTTAGGCAACATGGATTACAGGTAAAAAAAAAAAAGCATGCCAACCCTGAGTGGATTTATGCGGCAAGTTACAATTCTGTCCAGGTTAAGTCTTCTTATGTACTTCAGTCCTGTGAGGAGACAGAACTTTTGTTTAATGTTCTAAAATAAACTAGTTCCAAAATCATTTAAGTTGTTAATTAACAAAATTTCAACCCAAAAGCTGATCAAAACCATTCAAATGATTTGAGAGAGAGCTAGTTAGTTTGACACTATTTAAAAGAAATACACTGAAACAGAGATGAACAAAGGGGCATTAAAATCTGTTTGTAAACCTTTATCATACCTCCTTCAAGTTCAAGCAACTGTTTGTGGCGAAATACAAACATGTAGAAAAGTGCCTGGAAATGAATGTTCCATGATTTAATGGCAATTATGATTTCAACTAAAAGTCCATTCATAAAAAAAATTTTCATACAACTTAGATCAGTATTTCTTCTGTCAATACAATGGCAAAAAGGGAAGATAGATTAGGCCAGAAAAACTCTCTTGTTTTCAGTTTGGTTCCTTCCCTCTCCACACTTCATGTTTTTTACCTTTGCGTCCCTCCTGTTTGCACAATTCCAATAGTACAAAGCTAAATTGTGTGCAAGTAACTCTTGACCAGACATTGCTTGATTAGCTATGTTGCTTTATGTTTTTGTAAAAAAGGTAAAAGAAAAAAAGTACCAAAAGTAAGAAAACTGCAAGTAATCATCAGCTTACCTGACAAACTGAGTAAAACGGGCCATATTTACCAGCATCAGGTGTTACACAGCTTGCATCATGAGTGTCAATATAGCTGTAAAGATATCAAGCATATCTCAAGAATGATTATGTCCCTTACTATCAAACACATGCTATGTGTTTTAGATACACTTACCAGTGAATCCAGTGCACAATAAGGTCCAGACAAGTTTGCACTGTACTGTAAAATTAAAAGGTGACATACCATTGAATTATTGCCAGAATCTCCCTAAATATTACATTTTGAAATTGCTTTAGGTTAGTAAATTGTAAGTTGTAAAATGCTTGTCTATTCATTTATTTATTTATTAGCTTTGCCAACAATACATACAATATAGAACATGGGTTAATAACGGGCTTGTAACCACAACAGCAATAACCAGTTACTGTGGTCTCAGGAGTATTAAAATAGTAAAACTAAAATAGTAAAATGATTACATCAATAATTAATAAGTAAGAACACCATGGAGTTGGTGTTGTTTTCAGGCTGTGACATGAATTACATTTTGTACAGATAGTTTTATGAGTCCTGGGATTGTCAATGTCATAGATCTCTTAGAGTGCAGTTGAATAATAACACATCAAAGCATGTTTGAAGTCATCTACATTGTTCATACCTAGGTTAAGCTCATCTGACAGTGTGTTCCAGATTCTTATTGTTCGTATATATAATAAATGACTGTTCTTTTTCTTTCTTTTCATTGGCACTAAAGAAAATTGATCTTTCTAACTATACATTATCACTTACTTCAAGCATATAGCGTAGACATTTTACATCAATACAATGATCAACCACTCAGTTTCCATACAGTTGATATGTCTCACTTGAGCTCAAGGAGCTATCTGTGAATTTCTCTATCAACTAGTCCACTTTTGTCACTTTCATGGCAACTACAAGTCTTACCTAATGGGAATGTATTTAGCCCTGGCTGTAAAACTTGCAATGTAAGCTGCACTAGCCTGTCTGATGATAGCTGGGGTATTAGGTTCCTCAATCTGGAACACAGACACACTTGAATGACTACAAAGATGATAACAACAACAGAACACATGTCCAATAACTACTCACTGATTACAAAAAATTTGAAACATGATCTCAGATGATGAATGAAGCATTACTTAAATAACCATCTGTATATCTCTGTATCAACTTACCACCAGTGGATTCTTGTGATGCCAACCAGTGTCACAGTAGATTTGTCACTTTGGCATCACTTTGGAACCCCCAGTCAATTTTTGTTTGTAAATTTGGACTCTATTCTAGAATTCAGACACCCCTTTGAAACATTCATTGAAATGAAAAGCTCCTCAAAAATGGAAATTTGTTGCCATTGTGACCTCCTTAGCTTGTCTTTATTTTAAGCAGTTTTCATGCAATTCAGTTACTACAGAATTGCCAATAAATTAAAAGAAATAGAAATGTAACCATTGCACAACAATTGCAGCCATATTGCACATAGCCATTTAGTCAGGATTTTGTAAAACATCCACTAAAATTTACAAACTTAAATTTAAAAACCTTGCATTAATTCCTAATGTAACCAACACAGGGCTCATTGGAAGTGAAAGTATTACCTTCTTCCAGCAAACATCAAGAAGAGAATTGGAAAAATACTGCAAAAGAGGAAAAGAAAGAAAGGAAAATCTTGAATGAAATTCAGATAAGGAAAAGTATCACACAACCTGCATGAATTTTCATGTACGGTTTTACTGACATGTATCATATTGACTGAGTTAGGGTCAGCTATCAGTCATGACATTAATAAACCTTGGTGCACTTGGTTTGTGTGTCTATAACCATGGGCCAAATATGTTACCATCTGGCACTGTGCCATTCAGAGAATAAGCACATGATACAGTGCTTCTTGATGAAGCAAAGGTGGGCACTGACAGGACTAGTTCCCTGGTAAGGAGGGAGTATCCTCTTCAGAAAACATTAGGCATCTTATCACTTGTCTACAATCAAGTGTCTAGGAAGAGATATCCATTTGTGTCAATAACTGTATGTGTCTATAATGTTTTAATCACAATAGAACTGCTTCCCTCAATGAAAACTGATTTTCTGGAAACTGCACACATCTTAAAGATTAATGACATCTTGATGACATGTGTACTTGCTATTAAAATTAATTTGGTATTAATCAGTGAGTCCTAAATGGAAGGGGAGTGAAATAACAAAAATTCCAAGTGTTGAAGGTTTTGTTTCATTCTGACTAAGTATACAGTCAAGTTTTATCATACCAACCTGATCAAAGCTGCAGAGTAGAAACATTATGAACTGAATATGGCATGATGCATGTGTAGGGAGGATGACTTTGTCAAAAATCTGTCAAATCAAAATAAACTTGTTAACAGTCTGTATGGTGGTGTGTCATAAGTGCTTTCTGTTGATGAAAAGAAAATTTTCAAATATGGTTACTGACTGTAAAATAATTAAGCTTAAAAAAAAACTTGATAACACAAGTTATGACTTACCACCAGTAACTCATTGAACAATTCAATACCACCATCAACTATATACTCTCCTAATAATATGAAAAAAAAAGACAATTAAAACACCAACAGCCTCTGCCAAGTGATCAAAAACATCAACAGGAGTAGCAACAAGTTGGCAAAACTGCTTCATACAGAGATATGTTGACACTTCTCATTATTTTTGTCTAATAATAATATAATTATCTGATTTATATTAGTGCTTATTGCACACCTCTAAGTGCTAAACAAGAAATGAGTCCAAATTTATTTTCAGACACTGTACTATATATTTTAAAAGCCTTCAAATTCAGAGGTAAGAAAACATCTCTTCAATCAAATATACAACAGACTCAGGCAAGTTTCCATGTTAATATTTCAGCAGCTTAATAATCGATTAAAGTTACCATCCATGTGGGTAACTTCATGAATGTACTTGAACAAGATTTCCATCAAAATGTCCAGCCTGTCTGCCATTTCATTTCCCATACAGTTTACTTCTTGTCCTTCACCACTATCTTCCACTGCAATGTTGGTGGCATCCTGACATTTTAAACAACAATAAAGTCCAGTAAATTTTCAGTAATTAGATACACTGGCCTATGGAATTTAGATAAAAAAGTTTAAATAAGTGCTCCATGCTGTGACTGTTTGGTCAACAAGGCAAGTAGTTAAAAGTCACAAATTTGGCTGCCTAAGCCCATCTGCCTAAGCCCATCTGCAAACTGCAGCACCACATAACTTAGTCGTGAATGAAAGTGATCCTCGCAGTAATGTGCACTACTTAGGCAGTAGTGAAAGTAAGGCCTGAAAAAAATTCAGGCCTGTACGGGATTTGAACTCATGACCTCTGCGAACCCATGACCTCTGCGATACCAGTGCAGGGCCCTCTGCACTGGTATCGCAGAGGTCATGGGTTCAAATCCCATACAGGCCTGAATTTTTTTTTTTTTTCAGGCCTTACTTTCACTACTGCCTAAGTAGTGCACATTACTGCAAGGATCACTTTCATTCCTGTCTTTATCAGCAGTTCAAATATATGACTTTCATATATTCTTAACCGTTTGTGTTTTCTGTCTTAAGTTAACATGAGATAACCTTCTGTATAAATATATACAAATACTACCATTTCCACTTCAAACTGCGTAGGATCTTCTTCAGGAGTAGTTTCATGATGTTCAAGTTCATGCTTAGGAACTGCTACCTGCAATTTAAAACAAAAGGATCATAGAATTTGAGATAAGAGATGTTAAAAAGTCACAAAGTTCTAACTAATACGAGGGAAAGTATTTTACTAATAATTAATGTTAGTAGTACATTATATGATTTTGATGGTTATTTCACTCTTTTCTCATGCAGTTTGAAAATATTAATGAAATATATATGTACCTTTTTCTTCCCTTATCAATAAGGTGATGGACAAGGCAATTGTATATTTTACATTGAAGGAACAATGCCTTTTATTTTAATGTACAAAGGTGAAACAAAACAGCTATGATAATTGCACTTTCCTTTCAAAAGAATTGTAATAATACAGTATAATATTATAATTATATATAATGTATAATATAATATAATATTATATGTATATATATGTAAATACTATTATTATTATATATAACTTATTCTATCAACATTTTTTAAATAGAAAAAGAAAGATGTATATATTTCATGGTACATATTTTCAAATTGCAACATTGAAAACTGGTGTGTGAGTATGTATATATATATATATATAATTGTGTGTATATAGATATATATATATATATATATATCAAGATAGGAAAAAAAAACAAAGAGACTGTACCATCATCCCTATGAGCCTGTTTCAAGGTCTCATTCATCAGGGGATTTTATTATCCCCCAATTAGAGAGTAATCACGAAACGGGCTTGTAGGGATAGGAGTATAGTCTATTTTTTCCCCTATCTCAATATATATTGTGCTCTACTTCTACATATCAAGCACTGTACGATAGAAAAATCAATACACAGACTTTCTATATATATATATATATAAATGTGGGGGTAGAGTCTACCTTGGCATAAAGGGCTCAATGCTGTGGTAGCAGAGCTGGGTATATATAAGTGAAAGAGTCAGAGAAACTCAGAGTAACAGAGAATCGATGTGTCCTCTTTGACTCTTTCACTTATATATATATATATATATAGGAAGTCTGCAAGTCGATTTTCGCGTGGAACAGTGCTCAATATGTTGAAGCAGAGCAGAATAAATATTATGAGAACTGAATTAATTTCCAAATGCTGCCATGAGAACAAATACTCCCTAGTGAATATCAACACCAGATTACAATAGACTTACTAATTAGCTAATTACTATATATATATTTAAACTAAGTGAGGTATACTCTTCATTAAAATCTGTCTGATGATCGTGTAAGCGTGAAATTCAGAGTCACAGAAGAGTTGTCTTATTGATTTGTCCAACTTTCAGAGATATATATATATGGTAACTATAAAAATTGTAATTAATATCAATATGATATTCTTATACTTACATCAATCTTAGTAAGATTGTCAATGATCAGTTCCAGAATGTTTGCTCTGAGGCTAGGGAGGTATTTTGTAGCCTGAAGAAGGTTCTTCACATAACTTTCCTGTAAATGATGACGTGACAAACACCAATAGTAAGTATATACTATAATGATTGTAACTATACTTTGCAAACACCTTTTAAACTATATAAAACACAAAGCTGAAGTTCCCTTTCCTGTGAAAAGCCCTTCAGATCTAAATAATAAGAAAAAGTTCAATTGATCAATATTTAAAATGGTTTGATAATATAGAGATATGATACAAATTTAAAATTCTGAAAAACGTATAAGTGAAGGCAGCTGAACTACAAGCAATTAGCAGTAGGACCTAAATCACAAAATTAATTACCTGAAATATTGTAGGTTTTCTCACAAATGGAAAATTTTCTGACAGTACAGATATCAAAAACTGTGGAACTCTGTTGAAACAAAATTATTAAGATATTCCAGCTTCAAACATGTAAGCATAGTTATATCTTATTACATGGACCAGGCTGATAGGAACTGGCAGCAGGAACTATCCTATCTTGATTCCTTGTCACATTTTTATCAAACATTTTTCCAAAGTTATAGTTTGATCAATCTATAGGCTTTCAAAACTGAAGGGTTCTAATGTGACAAGAATAGTCTGAGACCAAACTGAAAAGTTAAAAAATTTTATTAGCTTTAACTTACGCTGGAACCACTTGATGGATGGCATGAAGGGCTTCATGGGCATTACAAAATATTTTCTCAGAAACTGAAAGAAATGTTTTATCAACAATTAATTCATTACTAAAAATCCATGGAAAAAAAGAATGTTCACCTTTGGTGAACATTCTTGGTGAAAAAAAGAATGTACATTTGGTGAACATTCTTTTTTTGACATGTATTAATTACTGAAAACGATATATATATTCAGTGCTGGGCAAAAACCAGTATTAAGCATGAACAAAATAAAAACGATGTTTTTAGATGTTTCACTTTCAGTGGGTGCAAAATTGCCACCTCTCAAGTTGCAGTAATTTAGTAGGTACAGTAAGTTTGGATCCTCATGCATACCTTCAGAATCACCTTTTTCTACTTGCACATCTCGAAAAATGGCTGTGGATAAGATAAATAACATCATTCAATTTTATTTTCATGACCTTGTCAAGATCAACTGCTTTTTACCATCATCTTTTGTCCATGAAAATAATTTTGCATTCTAAGATTGTACTATATTTAAAAATTCATTCATTCACACTAGACATTACCTTTTTTTTTTAAGCATTTCTTACGTTTACATACAAAATGGAAATTAAGAAAAAAGAAAAAAAAAAGAGTAAAAGACACACACACATACACACCCATACACACACTTATGTGGTACAAATAGAATACCAAGCTAAACACACACAAAGCTATTACAGCAATACAGTTACCTAGTATGTAAATTACAATGACATCACTTTTTTAAAACTGATGATGAAAATTAGTCATGACATCACTTACTCATAAAAATGCTTATTAACTTTTCCCACTTTCTAAAATGATTGTTTAATTTGTCTCTTTTCCCAGCAATATGGAGTTCAGTATTGTAAACACGCCTTGTCCTGGCTATAAAACCTTGGATAGAAGGTATAACATTCTGGTATTTCCGAGAGTAAATATAAAACTTACCCAGAAGCAAAATATGGTTAAACAGGAGAAAATCCTCTGCAATATCGAACTTACCAAAAATGACATCTTCCTCTCTAAGGTTATCAACAGAGATGCTATAATCATGCAACCAGGACAAGACATGTTTCCAAAAACTAGACAATACTCTGCGGGAATTACTTGCAATACTTTGGATTTTGCTTTCTTTTTTAATTTTATTCATAGTCAACTTGCCTAAACTATATTTCACTTATTCACAACTATTTATATTTTATTTATTTTCTTATCCAATAAATACATTTAAGACATGCTTCAGACTGACATTAAATAATTTTAAAATTTATCATACTGACAATAAACAATATAATTCAACAAGTTAATATTCATTACATTTAATAAACTAACTACAAAGATTTCTTTATTGAGGAAATCTTACATGGAATAAAGAGCTTGACAATCATATTAAGGCATGCTCTTAAGTAATATGTCTGGGCAGACACAAGGCTTGTCAGGAATTCAATAAATTCTTCCACTGTTTTCTCACCACATAGTGCCCATCTTGTATTCTAAAATTGTAATAATTCCATGATAACATCAACATAAGTGATAATTTTATTATCAATTGAATATTGTTCATAAAATCAATAAAACAATAATGAGTGAAAATTATTATTTCTCAAAACAGAATTTCAAATTTGGGACTGAGTATAATACACTGTCTAGATGGAGGTGCAAAATAACAGTCAGTGATAACATTATTATTCAAAGAATATTGATGAAAAAAAGCATATCTGAAAATTAAAAAAGGGTGCAATTTTTCTTTTTTATCTTACCAGAACTGCACCAACTAGTGTATCATACTGCTTTGTGAGATGAGAAACACAAGTTGTTAATGCCATAAGATATCTCTGCAAGTGGACTTCCTACAAAGAAGATCAACAAGATAAATAGGCTTACTAGAAATTCAGATTTGTTTTTAATGGTGTTAAGATAAGCTAAATCTCTTTCACTGCTGCACAATTTGGAACATTAAAATAGCTTCATCACTTATTTATTTTAACTTAAAGCAGTCTACAATCTGGCTATCTATACAACTGAATTCTGAACATGATGCAAGGGTTAGTAGAAATCAGTACCAAGTTGACACATTAATTAAGCTGCTTTCCATATAGTCACCAGCATGATTTAATAAGATTTCTTCTGATCAGCCAAAAGTCCAAGTCAATGCTACATACAATACTTTATCCAATGCATTGCTATACTGCTTGATCAGGCACTGGAAATTCAATTTTTTAAATTCTATCATATATACCAGGACCTCATTGCTGATTAGCAAGTAACCCAAATTAAATTTCTGTTTTTTTATTCCTCTGCTCAAAAGCATTTTTTGGATTATTTTCTCTATCCTTTTAAGGGCATCCAATGATCAAATTGTAGACTAATATAATTGTATTTAATTTTCTTTTTAAGACCTTCAGATTAGAAATAAGATTTCACACTAGCCTTGAGTTATCTTAAGCCAGCTTATAACAACCCGGCCAGAGAAACACAAAAAAAATCAGCAAAAGGCATGTATTTCTAGATTAAACTGATTTAACTGGAAGTTAGTGGTGAACACAGGCTCTAACAAAGTACTGGTACTGAGCACTAACTTTTTCCCCCTTTATTGTGATCTGAAGTTCTGAGGAAAAGCCAATTTGTTGTTATGTTTTGTTTTTAGGAGCGGGGTGAGCATGCAACAATAAGGGTGAACTGGAACTGATTGGTTGGGTCGAATTTGAAGGGAAAAACATGTAATTATATTGTTCACCAAAGTTACCTTGATTCCAGGGTCAGCAAGTTTCTGAACCAACAGATCATAATCTTTAGTTTTCCCCTAAGGTTAACAAGATACCAAGTTGCTGAATTAATGAGGTTAAATAGGGGTATTTGATTGTTGGGAAAACATAACATTTACTTAATGCATTTGTCTCATGGGTAAACATTTACATTTACATGCATTGGGTCGATAAAATCATTAAGATATCACACCAACCAAAAAAATAAAAAACAAATAAATAAATAAATAAGTAAATGAATAGAATACAGATATATCAGTATATAAATGAATGATATAAAAGTTGAGCAAAGGAAACTATATGAACTATATACAAATATTATTAAAGTAAAGCTGATAACCAATATTTAAAAGTTTCTAAGAAGGTTGATGAAACAATGGCCTGAGGAAGGCAGTTCCAGTCCCCTATAGTTTTTGCAAAAAACGAGAATTTAAAACAAAAGAATATTGCCGGCTGGAGTGCCTAAATACCGGAAAAATAATAAGTATTTGTGAAACCTTCCACAATTTACCGCTTGGTATTTTTTCCACTATAATAGGAAGTTTTATGAAGAATGATTGAGACCAACTCACCAGTTTAGCTTTCTCCAAAGCGTCTGTGATTAATGACGCGAGGACTTCAGCGCCGCTCAGACCCCGATCATTTTCGTTCGGGTCTCTGTCTACAGACATCGCCAGAAGTCAGACACCGGTGACCTATAAAAATATTTCCTTACTATCAAACATAACTCTGACATGTCTTCAAGCATTTTCATTTCAAACTTGGTGAGGAAATTAGGCCGTGAAACACACCAAACGGTGGCCTGGAGCTAAGTTCCCAGGATAGTGAGATATTTTGTATAATTTACATGAGGTAAAACCAATGTGGCGGCTACGAGAGGTAACGCGTGTTATTGGCTTCGCCTTAAAAGGTGTTCAACGTATTACATCGATTGGTAAGTCTTCTGTAATCAATTTTAGTTTCGTGTTTAGCTTTTTTGTCGCTTATTGTGATGAAACAATCGCATGTTTCACCGATTACATTGTACAACTTTGTATCGTAAACACTATCTATATTTAGTTGCATCCCTCCTGAATACAGTCGGGACATCACGCACTCGACTCATATCTTGCGTTACATTATAAGTTCTTGGACGCTTTGTTTGTGCATTGCGGTTGAGACACATTTCTTTCACTGTTTTTTAAATGTTGATATTTATTCATGCTCATTTAAGGAATACCACCTTGGGTGCTAACAACTCTAATTGAATCTCCACCCTCCCCTCCCACCTTACCCTTCAAAACAAAAAAAACAAAAAAAATTGTTTCACTGATTTACCACAATAAAGTCAGCTACAGTCCACTCTCTGCTAACGGACACTCTTGTAAGCCGACAGCTCTACTTAGACACATTTTACCTCTGTATTTACACGTTCCCTCAAGTGGACTCTCTCTTGTATGCAGACGTGGACACTTTTTGAAAGTGAAAATTAGATTTTTCTTTTGTTTATGCACTCTCATAGGTGGACACCCTGTGCTTGACATTTGACTTTTGGCAATAAAATTTGTCTTTAATTTGCAAATCGACAAAAACACAACCTTGACAGAGCAACAGAACAGTTGGGATTGGTTTTGTGAAATCTTCATTTGCCTGCAGGAAAGCAAGCTGTCAGTTCATCTGGCATGTAATTAACACCCCCTATTTTTCTTTGGTGTCCACTTAACAGGCCCTTTTTCTAATTCTTGAGAGAACTGACTGTATGTAGTTTAGACCATAAAGGTAACATGTTATTTAAACAGGTAATAACAGGCTAGATTATCTGAATAATATATGTTATCATTAATGTCTGCCTATCTACTAAGTATTAATCATCTTTTGTTGAATGAGTGTGAAGGCTGCTCAGTAAAAATAAATGTACTGAAATGATACTCACTGAAAATTCCTTCAGAGATATTTAATTAATAATAGTGATTTTGATAATTTTGTTATTTATTCATTACTCGAGATTTTCCTTAAATTTCCCAGGAAGTTACAGAAACATAGGCAATCGTCTCTTGCAAACCCTGCCGGCTGAGAGCCATTCAAATCCAGTAAGCATTGTTCACACAAACATGAAAGTTCACATACTTCCTGCTCTTTCTGATAACTACATGTACCTTGTTGTTGATGAGAAAACACAAGAAGCTGCCATAGTAGATCCTGTGGAACCTAAAAAGGTTTTGTATTTATTTAATCTCTATGTATTTACTAGTTTTACTTACTATTATTTCTTAAATTTGAAATGAATTCTACCTGAAACTTAGCTATCACTACTGTTTTGTCTTATGAAGTTCCTTTATACTCTGCTGTCATTGGTAGATGTATAATAGCTGTGATTGGTGCATTTTTAAGATGTATTCTCTCAGTGGTCTCCTGGGGACTTTTTGACCTCATTGCTTAAGGAAAACTAGCAGGCATTGTCATGAGACAATCACTGATAAGTGTATTTGATGTTACACTATGGTTATTACATTATCATAGGCTTTTATTTATAACAAATAAATAAAAGGGGTAAGTTTGTAAAGAAACTGTGGTGCTGTGTCAGTGAGAGAGTATAACAGGGTAACAGGGAAGTATTATCAACCAAGTTGATAATGTAAATTGGCCACTGAAAAGAATTCAAAGCTAATGTTTTGAGCGTCAACCCTTTGTCATGAAATGTCAGCTTTTAAACTTCTTACCGTGGCCAATTTATGTTATCAACTCAGTTTATAATACCAAATTATTCATAAATTTGTAACAGGTTGTTAATGCTGTCCAAAAAGAAGGAGTAAAACTAACAACTGTGTTAACTACTCATCATCATTGGTAAGTGATCACTAATCAAATGTAGGGTTTATACTTCATGATAGAACATTTCATAGTAAGTTTGTCATGTACATCTTTTACTCTGTACTATGCTTTATACGCTCTATATGACCACATTGGAATACTTAATTTATTCCCCACTCAGACTGTTTATAAAATGTACAGCAGTCTAGTCACATCCTGTATCTATGGTCAGAAGCTGAGGGTAGATATGGCTGTATCTTTTGTCGATAGGGTTGATGGCTGTATCTCAGTTGACAGGGTTGATAGCTGTATCTTTTGTTGATAGGGTAGATAGCTGTATCTCTTGTTGACAGGGTTGATGGCTGTATCTTAGTTGACAGGGTAGATAGCTGTATCTTTTGTTGATAGGGTAGATAACTGTATCTACTGTTGACTGGGTAGATAGCTGTATCTACTGTTGACAGGGTAGATGGCTGTATCTATTGTGGACAGTATAAACTGTATTATTGAAAGTTCAGATAGCTCTATCTACTGTTGACAGGGTAGATACCTGTATCTATTGTTGACAGGGTAGATACCTATATCTATTCTAGACAGGGTAGATTGCTGTATCTTTTTGACTGGGTAGATAGCTGTATCTATTATCCTCCCAAGGCCACCAATCCGCGCACTTTTATTTTTGTTGTGTTTTTAACGTATGCAAATTAGGATGTGCTTGACAAACAATGGAATCCATGTATGATATGCACCACAATTTTGATGGTTATTTTTATAGAAAAAAGTGTGCATTATACACGGGTAAATATGGCAGATAGCTGTATCTATTTGTTGACAGGGTAGATCACTTTACCTACTGTTGACAGGGTAGATAGCTGTATCTACTGTTGACAAGGTAGATAGCTGTATGACTACTTTTGACATTGTAGATAGCTGTATCTATGTTTGGCAGGGTAGGTAGCTCTATCTACTGTCGTCAGTGTAATAGCTGCATATATGTATGACAAGGTAGATAGCTGTATCTATGTTTGGCAGGGTGGATGGCTGTTTCTATTGTTGATGGTGTAGATAGCTTTACTCATTAACTTATGAGTTTCCCTATTCTGTCAGGGATCATGCAGGTGGAAATGCAGAGTTAGCTGAACTTGTGAAGGGGCTGACAGTTTGTGGTGGTGATGACAGAATTGGTGCATTGAACAAGAAAGTTATTCACGGTGATCAGTTAAAGGTTTGATAAATCATGATATAGTAAATTTGCATCCTATATACCAATATCAAATAGACTTGCTTGAGGCTTATTATAGTAACCAAGGAAAAATGACTGGCTGAGCAATGCCCAATGACAGCTGGCTGATGACTGTTGTGTGTTGTTTAGATTGGAAGCCTTGATGTCAAATGTCTTTTTACACCTTGTCACACAAGAGGGCACATCTGCTATGTTGTTATTGGCCAACCAAGTGCCGTGTTCACAGGTAAGGAACATCCTGTTTTGCTTCATAACTACCTTGTTGGTATATCAGGAGGCCCATAAGGTGAATTTTTTTCTTCAAGATTGGAATATTTCTTTTAATTTTTTAATACTGAGAAAACAGTGATTGTATTACTTGCATTGGGTGTCAGTCAGTGTAAATGGCAGACTGCAGACTGCAACCAGGGGTAAAATGCAGATTGAAGACCGAAGACCAGGGGTGAAATGCAGACTGAAGACTGAAGATCACGGGTTATGAAAAATGTGTGAAATTTATGAACATTTCTGGTTTCTCTCAATGATTAAACTTAAAAAGAACTTGAGACTTCTTATTGCTCTCAATTTGTTTCAATCAATTTATGGAAGACTGTGCCAATTTTCCAGTGAATAAAAATATGTCACAGCAAAACTAAATTTCTCAAGCATCAGGTTAAGTTGACCATGATAGCCACAGATTTACCTCGCATTAATACTGAAGTGAAACACCGAGTGGAATAAGAAACGCAAACACTTGGGGATATTGTTTGGAGGTTTTTAATTAGACTTTTATTTTGCACCCACAAATTTGCACTAAATTTAAAGAATTTGCATGCCTAACTTTGCAGCGCAAAACTAAGGTACAAGAAACAGGTTTTTATTACATCCAAGTAATCAAAATTGCTGATGTGTGATGAAAGTCTATCGCTACTACTTTCAAGGTCAGACTAAGTTTACATGAGCTACATGTATGTTAAAGCTACCTAATGTTGCTCAACAGAACTGTTTATTCCCTAACAAGGAAATAATATTTTTAGCTGGTTGTGAACTGCATATTCAAACACTTGCATTTCTAATCATTCTTACCTTAAAAAATATATCACCGCCAAAACCAGTGAAGTGCGAAACATTAATTGTCATGACCATTATTGACAGCCTCTCACGACTTATGCGGCCTCAATCCCAGCTCACTCTTGAAGTATTTCCAGGGAAATGGATTGTTTTTGAACCGAGTCTGCATTGATCCATAGTTTTCAGTCTGCATTGTACCCTCAGTCTGCCCTTCATCTTCAGTCTGCAGTCTGTGTTTTGCACTGACTGCATTGGGTGTCGTACATTCCCCATTTGACTGATGCAGGCTTACGCTGTTGTCAGTCAACCATTTTGTATCTTTGTTTTTTTTTTGAGGTGACACCCTCTTTGTGGCAGGCTGTGGAAAATTCTTTGAAGGGCATCCTTCAGAAATGTATAGGGCCTTAATTGAGATACTTGGAAAATTACCCGCGGATACTGTGAGTATTTATAAACAAAAGGTGACGAGTGAAATTTTGGCAAGCAAGTGCTCAGTAATTTCTTAACAAAAATTATGGCCACTATCTTTGATTTTAAAGGCAGCAGATGGCTTGGGAGAGAAAGAAATTTGTACCAAGATATGATGGCCAATAGTCAAAAATAAGGAGATAGGTGGGGGAGGGGAGTGAAGTCTTCTTGCCCTTCCCCTTCCCCTGCCCCCCACCCCCACCATCTACTCTAACTTCAAATCAAACATGGCTGGTATGATGTGTGTACTGTGGGCTACACTCTTGACTAATGATATTCTTAATGGAGCATACAAAAATAAAATGTTTTGTTAACTCTTTCCTTCCTTAGAAAAACCATATAATAATTTATCCCTTCTATATCAATGTATTAACGGCAGAAAGGTGATGAGAACAGAGAAAAACATTAAGCATGGCTGATATTGTTTAATTCAACACAAATTCTCCAGGCAAAAAGTATGAAAGATGTTTGGCAGACAGAAAGGAGATTCAGTTTTGAGATCTTGAGAATGAAAATGTTTAATTATTATTAGTAAACGACTTTATTTTCCAGCTGGTCTATTGTGGTCATGAGTACACAGTGAATAATCTGAAGTATGCTGTTCATGTTGAACCTGAAAACCCAGAAATTCTCAGACAAATTGAGTGGTCTAAGGTAATTGATAGTTGTTAAAAATGGTACAATGTGCATTTAAATCCTCAACAAATTACATTTTTTTTCTCAAGGTATTTGTGTAGTGGGTAATGATAGCATGGATTCACATTCTAGTTATCCATTTTAAAAGTTAAATATAATCAATTTATTTTAGAACAAAAGAGAAGCAAATGAACCAACAGTTCCATCCTCTATTGGCGAGGAGCTCAAATTTAACCCATTTATGAGAGTTCAGTAAGTTGCATTTTAAAATTTTGTACATTTAATAAATGCTCCAGAGAATGTGTTTACTACAGTAACTCAAGTTCTAAAGCTTAATTCGCTATTAAATGGCAAAGAGCTAATTAAAAGTGGAAGATATAATTATTCGACCATTGTCTTTTCTTGAGATGAAAGTCTACCATGGGCTGCTGTTGAGGGTTCATAGTAAACTCATCTATGACTTCATAACTTCATTAAAAGAATCTACAAAAAGCAGACAGCTTTAAGAAATTTGTCTATCTATCAAATTGAGGGTGCTTTTTACTTAGGGTAGAAGTTTGAGAATTTCTTTAGACCATTTTTGTCATCTTTGTCCATATAACCATCATTATTCTTATTATTGTAAGATATTAAGCAAAGATATTTAGAAATGTTGTTTACTGCTGTCATGGTTCAAAGTTTTGCCCTGTTTAAAAATTCTGAAACTTGTTTCTCTTTCCTCTCGGATCTATAATAGTAACATATCAGCAGAGACAGGGAAACACAAATTTAATTGGTTTAAAAACATTGAAGCAAAAGAAAAATTCAAAATACAAACTAGCCTTTGCTATTTTGAACTTGTGAACTTCTTTTGTTTTAGTGAGGAAAATGTAAAGAAATATACAGGAAAATCAGACCCAATAGATGTGATGGGAGCCCTTCGGCAAGACAAGGACAAGTTCAAACCTAAACACTGACTGGGATTAGATTCGGAATAATTATTTATGCACAGTGCTGAAGAAATTAATTGCTTTTATTTCAATCAAGATTGTAGGGTTTGTACAGACACCAGCAGTTTTGGCAAATGATTGAAATCTGTAAACTAGTTTACCATACCTTCAAAGTGAAAAAATAAATTAATAGTTTAAAAACTGCTTGGTAACTATTCAGAAGTTTTTCTTTTAACACCAAGCTACAAGCTACAAAAGGAGCAAAATAAATATTCGTACCAGTTTCAGAATTAAAGGAATTCCATGAAGACACCATTTAATTAGACAAGTGTAAGGGAAGATTATTCTTTACCTAAAACCTGACTTGGAGGGATCAATGTGTCGCACTTATTTCATCTTAACTTTCTCATAATTTTATGTATGATGATAAAGTTGGGTAAAAAAAATAAATAAAATCTAAGCATTTTTTGTTTGTGTGAGTTATACTCTGTGCCTTTGTTTTTAGTTTTAGGGAAAGGGTCAAAATAATTTGAGACAAGTTTTAGTTGTACTTTCCTTTGTTTTAGATACATTACCATAATCCTTAAACAAAGAGAAACATAACTTAAACCATGGTGAATCCTGTATAAAGTAAACTCATCTTAAGAAGACAATAAACAAAGTCCAGACATTAAAACAATTCTCTGTTGGAATGCTGAAACTGTGTTCAGCTCACAAATCCATACCTTTTACCATTAATAGGTTTTAATTCTACAGGAAAAATGCAGAGGTGACAAATCATGTTAAGCTCACAGTATGAAATGTTGCACAGTCAACTAAATATAGCCAGATTTGGCACCAGGGCATCCTGAATCTCAAACTACAGTGTTCTATGGTGAATTAGTGGGTATGGCTCACTCTAAAAGGTGAGTTTTAGGCAGAACCCTTTCAGCAGTAGGTTGATCCAAGCTGGTGGGACCAATATAATTTAATGCAGTCTTCCTGGAGGTATTTGTCCCAATAGTGAGACACCTAAGTGCCCGATTCACAGAGATAAAAGTGAAAGCCATGTTGCCAGAGCTTTCAAATCTAACACCATTGTATGGTTACTGGATTTCAAGACAATTTGCTTGACAATATGTAGACGTAAATCACAAGTAATCTACTTCATCTGAATGGACACTTGATAAAATACTAACTTCATTCCTAGTTCTATTGAAAGGGTTACTCAATAATTATACCTTACAAACTTCTAAAAGTTGGAAAAGAAAAATATTTGAAAGATGATTAAAATTTTTAATACAAAAATATCTGTCAAAGTATGACTCTATCCGAAATTTTATTGTTTCAGTTTCTTCCACATTTGAATGAAAAATTGTGACTTACTGCCTAATTCATACAAGGCAAGTATTACAGTTAAAAAAATATTAACAATTGAGTAGAACTTATGATGATAAATTAAATTTGTGTAAAATAATTTCTTCACAAAAGGTTCCAGCCCATAGAGACAAATTTGTGGTAAGGTGAATCATGCTGTCGTGGAATTGAATACAAAGCCTTGTCCTTTTGACAATGGCAGACATAAAGATTAAATCGAGTCACAAAAATGAGCATCTTCTCCAGCAATCCATCTTCTATGCAGTAAATTAAATCATATATGGCTCAGCTAACTTGTAAAACAGCAAGTAAGGGGAGGTGAAGGATGATTCAGATGACGACAGCAATGTTTTTACATCAGATTCCTCTATGGTTCTAACTTCAGCATCATCAAAATGAATCCATTGTAATTCCTGAGTTTCTGTGACACTTGTACAAGTATGTGATATTTGTCTAGCACCCTGCATCTGTTTTTCTTGATACTGTTGTTTGTCATTTTCTTCTTGGAAATTCAATTGCTTTATTGCACTTCTGTGAGACTTTGCACCATCTTGGTACTGAAAACTGCGGATCTTACTCACTGACTTTCCAGTTCCTGCACAGTTGTATGTTGGTGTGCTAAAATTTCTTCGTTTTTCACCATGGTGTTTGCTTTCTTCATCAGTTCTCTCATCTGGGTTAGTCTCATTTGTGGAATGCCTCTTTGATTTGTGAAAGAATTTTGTTATTCCAGAAATACATGTTGTCTTTACTTTATCAGCAGTGCTTTCTGAACTCAAGGGTTGAATTTTATCAGGTTTGTCAGCACTTGAGAAAAAGTCTGAATTGAACTCTGCAGCTAATGCTTCATAACTGTCCACCTTCTTTCCATTATGAGAGGGCAATACCTGTGTGTTGCCATGCTGATAGTGTTTTGGCACCTGAACATAAGCCTGATAGTGTCCACTGCAAGATGTCATACCACTGTGCATTACAATGCCAAATAGATGGTAGGTAGGGTTAGATAGAGGACATGATTTTGAACACCACTCTTTCAAAGACAGCTCCATGGGTGTCTCAAGATTTGAAGTTATCTTGGAAACACTGTTTAATGAAAATCTGCTGAAGAAAAGAAAACAACATCAGGTGGTTGCACTCTGACAATAGGGACCTATAGCAGACCAAAACAACAACAGAAAGGGGAATGTTGTTTGAAAAAGTTTTAGTGAGTAGAGCAATACATTTTCTAACCCTTTGAAGAAGGTTAACAATCCAGCCATTTGCCAAATTCTTTTGAAAAAGATATTTTATTCATTGTTCATCACAATTTTCCTTAACTTTGCCTTCCAACCTGGGTAAGGTCCCTTACAATATTCACAGTTCCATATGTTGTTTGCCAAAATATAATCTTAATATGTTACACTGTTAATAGTATTAAATTATTTTTTGCTGATGGCTTACCCCAATAAAGTGTTCGCAGTAAACCTCTTGAGGTGGATTGTAAGTATTCTTGGAAGTTTGTCAAAACATGTGGATATCTCAGCTTCAGAATGGGTGAGACAATTCCCGCAAAAGTATTTGTTTTCTCCTGTCAGATGTTCTATCCTGGCAAACTGAGACAGGGCCCAAGGAAGGCTTTTGCCATCTTGTCCTTTCTTTGGTGTTGGTGAAAATGTGTTAGCAGTTTTTACATCATACACTCTTGGCTCCTGTTGAACTGGAACACTGATATCTTGGAAACTTTCAAATCGTTTCTTGGCCTCTTCACATGTCATGCATTTAGTCTGATGCAGAAGTTGTCCCTGAAACAATTCTTCCACTTTACTTATATGTTTGCTCACTTTGTTGTTACTCTTTGAATTGACAAATAGGGCATCTAAATCTCTTACAACTGTTGCATCTTCAATTTTCTTTTTAACATCATTCTCTGTATCTTGAAGATTTACAAGCAAGCTGCACAAGAATTCTTGGGCATCGTGCTGCTGTTTGTCCTCAAATATTGGATTTTGCTTCCTGTTCAAAGAGAAGATATTTAAAAAATGTTGACATGTGATTGAAAAGAGTGCTTAAAGGTCAAATTAACCATTTGTAGGTGTTTGTTTGTGTAAGCACCAAGATGTGCTTTTAAGGAAAATAGGCTGGGAAGTTTGTGTGGGTAATAATCATCATTATCTAGAGCACACCCTGACCACACACTCAGGAGGAATGTCACATGGAACATTACAACAAACCTAAACATCTCCATGAAGCCACAAGGTATTGCAGCAAGAATCAGATGATTTCTTCTTTGCACAAGATGATCACAATTCTCTTTGTTCTCACTGTAATCCAGCTCCAGCTCATTCATCTCACTGAAAAGCTAAGTAAGACAACACAACATAAATTTGTCATGGTGATATACGTCTATACAAATTTATATATATATATGAATTTGAGAGTCTCTGCTTAGTAACACTAAGCAGAGACTTTCAATGCACAAATAACAATGAAAATGAAAGGAATCTCTAATTATCTCACCTCTTTTAGTTTGCAAACAACTGCTCTGTGATCATTACCAGCAATGCCACAAGGGTCTATGTCTTTATCTGGGCCCTTATAATAACAAACATATTGTGTGAAATTCACATTGTAACTAGGACAGATCTCTACAATGTTCTTCAGGTGCTAAACTAAGGAGTCCTTTTGATGAAGTGTGAGGGTTAATGAAACATTATCTACCCAGTTTGTGGTAGAAGCAACTTTATCATGCAACAAATTCTGCAATCTTTGGGGAGAAGATTTGGAATGGGATCCTTGCTGTTATCAAATTTACAACAATTAGACAGATTAAGCTGCTCTTTTCTATTAAAAAAAAGAAATCCTTGTAATGAAATGCGAGGGTTAATGAAACATTATATACCCAGTTTGCAGTAAAAACAACTATATCATCAAACAAGTTCAGCAGTCTTTGAAAGGGATTCTTGCTGTCACTGATTTTATAACAATCAAAAAGATTCAGCTGCTCTTTGCTATTTTCCTAAATTATCCCTAACAGGATTTTATTGAGTTAGTTATTATGGACAATTAGTACACTCTGTAAATTTTTTGTTTCTTTTAGATAGTTGAGAAAGCCTCTCTCTCCTGAAAATTCCTACATTTGCATCTAGACAGATTTCCTCAATATGACAATATGTCAATAACCACTGCCTGGTTAGCTCATGTGGATGAGCGCTTGACTACCGTGAGGGAGGTCAGGGTTCAAGATCCAGACTGGAACCACACTCAGAGTCTTAAAAAAAAGGAGAATGTGCTGCCTTTGCTATGATATCTGCAAATGGTTAGACATTCTAGTCTTCTTGGATAAGGAAGAAAAGTCATAGGCCTCGTCTCCTGCTTCTCCTCAGTACTGGTTAGTAGGGGGACGTTAAAGAACCCACACACTTGTTGCAAAGAGTAGGGAACGTAACCCTAACCCTTGAAGAACCTTTACAAACCTGACCAAATCCAAGCATATAAGCCTTGTAGAGAGGGAATGCTTGTAATATGGTAAATAATAATAATAATAATAATAATAATAATAATAATAATAATAATAATAGTAATAATAGTAATAATAGTAATAATAGTAATAATAATAAAAAAAACAATGAAAGGGAAGAGAATGGTTGCTACTAATACAGTGAACACATTCATCAAAATTATTTCATTTGACCAAAACACAAAATCGTTAACCCTTTCAGTACCCCAATTGAAGTTCGTTCCTTACATCGTGACTCAACTAATTGAGTGTCTATCTCACGGCCTTGACTAGAAATCAAGTCTTATAACCTAAGTCTGACACGAAGTAACAGATTACCTGTTCATCGTCAGCTGATTTTGAGGGATATAGCTTTCTAACGAGTGAGTCGATTTCCATGACAGATTGCATTAAGCCGGGACAAAACCGCAACACTTGCAGTACAGCGTTTGCATAGCAAATATTTCCAAGATTCTTCAGTCCAGCAAAAGGAGGAGGAATAAGAGGTTCCAATACGTCATCATCATTTGTATTCTGAGCAGTCGAGGGGCTAAATATTGGGCATAACTTCTCTCTGTTTTCGATCTCGCTCTGCGACTTCTTCTTGTTCTTAAGCTTCAATGAAAACTTGGTTCTTTTGCGAGGTGGGCTTCTTGGACTTGATGGAGGTGAATCTGTCTGAAAAACCGTCGGCATCTTGTTCAAGAAAGATTTGAGATGTTATATGTACCAGATTAAGGCTTAGATAGGTCATTGATTCCAAGAAATTTTTGAAATCTTAAGCAAATGCAAACCTACGGCTTTCATTTCCCCGCCATTCTGCCCATAATTGGATTGTTCGTGTCCAGTCTTCAAGAGTAAGTTAACCGGGGGGACTGGGTTTGAAACAATGATGGAAAAAGGGCATAAATGATAACAATTACAACCCTTGAGTTTATATCGAATTTTCCTTTTGATAATTTTTGGAATATCACCATTCAAAGATACAAGTTATTTTCATTTTGACAACTTTGTTAATAATAGTTTAATAGAACGTTAGAGACAAGCCCGTGGTATTTATAACACAGCGGTGTTACTTTAAAATTTATGGCGCGAAGAGTTACCCGGGAATAATGGAACATGGCGACCCTTTAGGATTACAATTCCCTACTTTTTCACTGCTAAAAGAGATAAAATTGAAATGTTCACTGCACAGCAACTGGATATTAAAGCTACAGAGCTTAAGGCTGAGTTTTTGCTTTCTGAGCCTTTACATGACGAGGGACCTAAAGAGGAAGACAGGATCGAAAGAACAACTTCTTCCTACTCAAATGAATCGGAGCGCTTTTTGTTAAAAGACAGAAGCTTTTCAAGGCAGTATGCCCAGATCTACTCAGTCCGTATCATGGCAATGAGGAAGAAGTTAGCTACAGCAGCAAGAAGGAAATGGGGTTTGTAATCGATTTACTTCACAAAAATTTAGCCTCGTAGTTACGGTTTGTGAGAATTGTTGTAAATCTAAACTAGCCATGGTCGGTTGCAATTCCTTAGTTTTGATTGGTTTGTAGGCCATGGTGTCTGAGCTCTTATTCCATCAACTAAAAATATGGTTGGTGCTGTTTATGTCAGCGGGAGTAGCGTTGAGGGAGTTTGTCCAACTTTTGTAACAGATTTTTAAATATGTGAAATTGTGCCTTTCAGGTGGGACGGAGAGCGCATTTAAAATACAGAAACTGTCTGAAGTGAAAGTGGATGAAAAATGTTTTGTGATTGGAACTCTATTCAAGAAAATGGAAATGAAACCTAGTATTTTAAAGGAGATAAGTGAAGAGGTATGATTGATGTGAGACTGAAAATAATTAAACTGCCATTTATGATTATACCATTTAATTTCTGCAAAATTCTTGTCTAAGTTTTATGCATACAGTACAAGCTATTAGATTCATAAATACTAGAAATAACTGTATGATTACAGATGAAACTTGTACAATAAAATAAATACCACCAGCAGAATGAGTCTTTTTTCCTGAACCAACTGTCAAGTCCATCTATTGAAAGGTTTACCTTGTTCATTTTGTTGGCAGCATAATTTGATGCCACAGCCCTCTAGAGATAGATTTACCGAAGATAGTGATGAACTTGTGATAGAGGACGAAACAGAGAGAGTGTCACTTACTGGTAACATACAAGTTGGAACATGTGTAACAGGTATTTTGGCAATCACACACTCACACAGATTTCCTTCATCTATCATTCCAGCATTGTCACAGACCATAGATCATTGACAACAATAATAAACAATGAATGAACTAAAACAGAGAACTAATTCTACCAATGCATCAGAACACTTAGATCAAAATTGACTCACACTACTTGAGTCAGCCATAAGCATCACAGCAAAACTTACCTTGATTATCATACCTAACTGACAAAGAACTTCTCATGACTCTGATGATGACTTCCACTCAGTTTGTCCAAGCAGCAGTCACTGTCAACATTAAAGCCCTTTACAGGATTACTGTTGTTGCTTTGATCTGACCACATGACCAACAGTACTTCTAGACTCCAATCATTAACTATTTTGAGTTTTTACTAATGGTTATTTGTTAATTTCAGGAAGTTTAGTAGCACTCTGTGGTTGTACAATTGACAGTGGTAAATTTGCTGTTGAAGATTATTGTTTCAGTGGCCTTCCTTACCAAACTGTACCAAATCTTGATCAACATTTGTCCAAGGGTGAAGATTGGTGAGATAGTTTCTTTGAAGTTTTCTCTCTTGCCTTATTTGCTTTTGTCATACTCATTCATGAGATATATATTTATTAACAAAGGATGACTTTAAGAGAGCCTAAGCTCTTTAAGTAATCGTTATGCTGACCAACTTAAAACTTTCTTTCACTTCCTTATAGCTTCCTAGAGTGAGTTGTGTGGTAGGGCTGGTCACTACAATGATTATTATCTTGATGGTAGATTTTTTAATGAGTCTATATAGAGGTATATCTGAGAGCTTAATTTCTTTTTCATTTTAAGTTATGTTGCTTTTATCTCTGGTCTTGGATTTGGTGATAAAAGTCAGGATTTACTCAGCCTTCAGCTTTTTTCTGATTTGGTGATTGGAGAGCTTGGTTGTGTACAGGTGAGATTTGTTTCATATTGAGAGTAAGATTATTTACCAAAATGAAGAAAGACCTCTGGAAGTGATCTCATGGCCACTCCCTTGGTATGGCATACAGCCAGCTGAATCATATTGGTTATGGCTTGGAAAGGAATGAATTGTTAACCTTTGAAGAAAAGTTTACCCCACAAGGCTTCATTGTAGAGAGTAACTTAACTTGGTACTCATAAGAAATGCACTCCAGCAGGCTGTACTTCAAATAATGATTTTTGCCAGAAAGTTTCTTTGTTTGTATCACTTGTATCACTTTTTTCAAAATATTTTCCTTTTGGATGTATTTGTGCCTTGATAGAGACCCTCTTACTTAAGGTTATGACTCAAAATTGAGACCTTAACGGTCATACCAGATTTTAGTGACCTCCACTTATAATTTACTGCATAGGCTTGAAATTTAAGATGATCACTTGCTGGAAATTAATTTTACTTTGTAACCCATTGAATAACTAGGATCAAGAATCTTGTGCAAAGATAAGCCGAGTTATCATTGCTGGAAATTCCTTGAGCCATTATACACTTAATAAAGACAGTGAAGCAAAGGTATGCTATTTACAACTTTTTGCCATTCTTGTCTTCTCTGTGTTTGATGTAGTATGAATTATTTTCCATCAGCTTATGATTAACAGTTTTTTTATAATGAAGAGAGTGTTATGGGGATTTGCATATTTATAATTTAGATTATTGCCCTTGTGACAAACAGTGCATTAAAACATGACTGTTCCCAACAGGCAAAGTATTTGACTAGAAATACTGAGGCTGGTAGTGTGGAGGCTATGAAGAGGTTGGATGAATTTGTAATGCAACTGGCTGTAAGTAATGCAGAATGTTTCTGAAGTTAAGATTTTGAAATCTTACCATGTGAATTGTGGTTTTCTGAATAATATTGAACATGAATGAACAACATGGTGAATTAATTGACATTCCCATCACTAGTCATGTGTTCCAGTAGACATAATGCCTGGGGAGTTTGATCCTGCTAATCACACGGTGCCACAGCAACCTTTTCATCGCTGCATGTTTCCCCAAGCAGCTGCTTATCCAACATTTCAAAGTGTGACCAACCCATATGAAGCTGTAATTGGTGGACTAAGGTAACGTTTTCCACAGAGTACAACCTGCAGTCTGTCCTGTAACTGCATGGTTGGGTAAAGTAGGGAAATTTATATGTATGTATAACCCTATATAAAGATTAGAAAGTTGACCAGGACCTATTGATAGAGGTTTTTGTGATTTAAATCATTTATGATCATGAAAGAAACTCCTTATGAACTTAATTTTTGTGGCAGTTTGCTTGAATTATTTTCATTTTAAAACTATATTTGCAGAATCCTTGGAACCTCAGGACAAAATGTTCAAGACATTCACAGGGTTTCAACATTTGAAGATGGTTTGGACATTCTAGAACACAGCATGAGTTGGGGTCACATTGCACCCACAGCTCCAGACACCTTAGGTAGTTGTCTGAGGAATTCACTTCCTTTTTATGCTAAAGCAAAATTGGAGGCTTGGGGAGAACAGAGGGAGTGTTGGTTCAAACAGTTTTTTGCACTGGGTATTTACATAAGGTCAAACCTCAATCATGGGTTTATGCAATCAGTGGGCCTTGGGCTTTCTCTATAAGAGGGTTGTTTTGATGAAATAAATGTCCTTCTGCTGTAAGCTTTTGGCCCTCTTGATGCTCAAGGATACAGGACAAAAAAATAAAGTTGGACCAAGGCTGGTAGGGTGGTGACCTCCTAAATGAACAAAACAAACAAAGAGGGTTGAAGATAAGAAACAGCACACATTGTGTTGTAGAGCTGTGTTTAACAGGGGCTGTCACAGATCAATATCAGTATCTGGGAAACTGCCCACCTACCCCTCCCCTAACTCAACATTAACCCTAACTTGTTATCAATTGACTGGTGTTGAGTTAGGGGAGGGTAGATGGGCAGTTGCCCAGATACTGCTATTGATCTACTGTCACCATGATGGAGAATCAATAACTTAGTGCTTGGTGCACAGGATTCCTGATTAGAAATATACATGTTCAAGCACTGAGTCTTTTTCTTCTGTTTCTGGACTTACCAGCAAGTGTTCATCATAGGTATTCTCAGCAATGGTGATTAGCTTTTTTGTGGCCATTTGCCATTTTCACACTTCTTTTTTCAGGGTGTTACCCATACTATGAGAAGGATCCTTTTATTTTGGAGAAATGTCCACATGTGTACTTCGTTGGCAATCAACACAAGTATGCAAGCAAATTTATCCATGGTAAGCATGCAAGTAACAATGAATTGATCAAAGAGAAGAATTTCTTTATTCAGCGTTGATTTTAATTTATAGTTACCGTCTCTCTTTAGGTGAAAATGGTCAGAAAGTGTTGTTGGTGACAGTTCCTGCCTTCTCCAGTACAAAGACATGTGTGATGCTTAATTTAAGAACACTAACCTGCCACCCAATGAGCTTTTCTGCTCTTCCATCAACACTAAATGTTAAGGCATCAATTAAAGCACAGATGGAAATTTAACTGTAACCAAAAGTGGTTCTAGCATTTAGACATTGTGTTGTTACCACTGTTTAGAAAAAGAACAATCAAGTCATGGGATAGTACCTACTTTGTACAAAATTAAGTTTGCGCTGTGTTTCCTCGTTACCTACTGAAAAATAAACTAATTCAATTTGCAGAAATTAAGTCAAGGTTTGCTTCAGTTCCCATATCCATATACCTTGTGCATACAATAGAATTTTCCTCACCCTTTAGTGTGCATTGGTGTATCAAGCATTTCATTGTCAGGTTTGTGATCTATAAGTGGATTTAAAGGCATCCATTGTGAACCTTAGATTCCACAACTTCTGCAGGCAGCATACTGTAATAAATGAACAGACTTTTGCCTTAATGTATAAGACAATTTTCCTTGCTTCTGAAGTTCAATTTTGCTCAGTTAAAGAGGGGACCATAGCCTCTTTCAGCACTAACCTCATCTGAAGGAAAAGAGTTAATTGGGTTTAGTGATTAAAGCAACATTTAAGGTTCTAGAGCAAAGGACATAGTCCCACACAAAAAAGTGTATGAATGGATTGTGTGATGTGGAAAAATGAAGGGGAAAAGAAAATCCATTCAAATCAGTTCAGTGAGTTTGGTGAAACAAGATACACAGATATAAAGATAGAAAGTGGATGAGACAGTTGTACAAAGCAACCTTGACAGATAAAAAGGTTTCAAATTTTATTCAATTTAATTCCCAAATTTACTAGAATTTAGTTCAAAGCAGGTTCTATTTTAATCCTAACACAAAAAGTACTCCAATAGAGCACATATTAAACATTTCTCTGACAGTAACACAGAATAACTTTAGTGTACAGCCATCTTACATTTGCATTAAGTAAATATGTCTCTAATGTAAATTATTTCCAAAATTAGAATCTTTGTAACTGAGGTCATTAATCAGATCTCAATTATTCTAACAATCTTCAACAAATTTTAACATTAATGTAAAATATAACTTTCATCATAATAATATAGAGACTTAGTACACCTTAACTACTAGTACAAGACTTCCCAATTAGTAATGAGCAAATTCAACTATGTCTCTAACATTTTTGCAAGAAGTGAGAGGCACTAACTTAAGGGGAATGCTTCATTGCATGATGCTAATTCTAATACATTAAACACCTAATAATCTCTTGTAAAGTCTTTACTTCGCAATATGTATGGACACAGTACTCTCAATGAAAGAATATTAAAATAGAATAATAGTAACTTAGACTAAACTGTGCAATTTTTGACTAGTAATCAATCCATCGAGTGGTTCTAATAAATTGAACAATGCATCAGGGAAAAAAAGAAAATTAATGTAAGTCTTCTTAGAAAATAAAGAATAAAACAACATCAATTTAGAGACCTTTAGACACAAAAAGAGAAACATGAGATGAGAGTGATGAGAATTACTCAAACTTGGGCTGTAGTTGCTTAAGGTCCACAATGTCATACAGCAATTAAATTGTAGGCAGTGGATAAAGCTGATTGTTTTGTTGTTGTTGTTATTATTATTATTATTACAGGTTCTAGATAAACAATTTTTAAAAGGTGGACACTGATGCCCAAACTGGAATTAGGGTCAGAAAAATTTCATTAAGTGCAAATACAAACATACTACATTGTATGCCAGATTGGAATTGATCTGCAAAAATGTACCAAACATAAAAATGATTAAAATTTTTGTGACAATCAGACTCTAGTATTTCAAGGAACTGCAATAAACAGGGATGATGAACCCAACCCTTGAATTCTTACCAGCAAAAACAACCAACTACAATCATATTTTATACAGCATATGAATCTGCAGACAAATTTTGTTGCAATGCAAACTTAAAAATGAAAGGCAGCGCTATTTGCTTCTGTTAGTTAGGTGACATTGGTTATGAAAAAGATGCAACATGGTGGTGCAACAACTGAGCGTGTCTTGGCAGGAAAAGCTTATGTCTACAACTAAGTAATGACACCACATTAAAAAGGATTAAGCTTGGATTTTACTCAAAACATACAATTTAACTGACTACCAAAAGAAAGAAACAACATATTAAACTTTTACAAATAGACATACGTGATGAAAGAATTTTCCTATTTAATATATTATTAAAGCAAATAGCTTTTACTAAGGGTTAATATTCAACGAAGATGAAATTTTACAAAATGACAGATACCCCATTCTCTCTTTTTGTTAATTGATGTGTTCAGATATAAGTCAGTAAGCATGTTTGTGAAGTTTTAGTTTTGACTTCATTCTGAGAAATATTTGCTAAAAGCAACAGGGGACTTTTCCTGTGTTTTAATGGTCTCATCCAAACACTTGAGGTTGAAAGAATTCTTCTGTGTGTCAACATTCGACATAACTACCTAAAATTCCCCTAAACCCAAACCATTCCACAAAGATTATATTCCATCACTTATATATTAAACAGGGCTGTGTAAAACTGCAACCCCTGCTGCAGCCCGACATCTTGTCATAGGAACTACATCTTCCCATTGGTCATTTCTTGGATCATAGGCCTCCACTGTGTTAAGATATGATGGACCATCAATACCTCCAACGGCATAAACCCAGCAACCATAGGTCATTACACAAACACCATCACGACATGAATTGAGAGGAGCAACTTCTATCCATGCATTCTTACGGGGTTCAAACATCTCAACTATATCAAGCCTTGATGCACCATCAAAACCACCAATAGCATAGATGTAACCATCTAAAGCTGCAGCTCCAATCCCAGCCCTGGGCCGACTCATAGGGGGTAGAACAGTCCATCTGTTTGTATGAGGATCATAGCATTCAATTGAGTTGAGGAATGAGACTCCATCGTTACCACCAATCACAAAGATGCGGTCTCCAAGCTGTGCCACTCCTGTTTGAACAAGAACTCTTATTATCCATAGCAACAATGGTCTATCTTGTATACACTTGACAATCTAGATACTATATCAAAAAGTTCAATATTTTGCATCTTGACACTAAATCAGCCAAATATTCATTAAATTAAACTTGAATGGATAATTAATATGAAATTTTCACCCTTTCTGGATGGTCACAAACAACCATTGCAATAAAAGGAACTGTGAAGGAATCTGTTACATACCAGGGAAGCTGCGGGTAATATTTGTAGGTGCAACAAAACTCCAGATATCAACCAGTGGGTCATATCTTTCAACTGTTTTTAAACATGATCGCCCATCATAACCACCCATTGCATACATTGCTTCACCAAGAACACCAACTCCAACACCAGAGCGACTAGTATTAAGTGCCTTGACATACATCCACTGGTTTGTCTCTAATGAAAAGCGTTCCACTGTGCTCAAACGCGAATACCCATCTGAACCACCAACAGCATACAGGAAGCCTCCTAAACTTCCAGTACCAAGTTGTTGCCTTGGGACATTAAGTGGTGGGGCTTGCTGCCAAATGTTTGTTTGTAAACTGGTGATAAGGGAAAGAAATGACACAAATATTGTCCACTAATCAACCATGCATGCATACAGCTTTAACCATGCACTTCCCATATTTGAGTAGAAGCTTTAATTTATCTGTACATTGCAGTAAGAGAACTATTTACAATTTAACGATCTTAAGAAGAGAACCAGTATATGAACCTGTTGGCCAATAAAAAGAAGAGGGAAAAATTTTTTTTTCATTTACATCCTTCAGACATGCCAGGGTGATTTTGATCACACCTCTCTCAAGGTGTAAATTTTACTTGGCTAGAAAATTATCTCCTCTTGAAGAATGCCAAAATTTTATCCTAACAAAGACATTGTTCCAAATAATAAAGATCTGGTTTTAAAAGAGAAAGAACCTTTAATCCTGACTGTTCCAGCCTGTTTTGATAAATAAATGTTTCAGATATTCGGCTTTGCTCGAGTTGGAAGTTAATATTTTTACAATAAAAAACAAAAAAAGAAAAAAGAAAAACTAAAATATACAGCGGCTGTATATACAGACGCTGTTGAACTTAAGTTAAACTTTAACTTCAGATGAGTGCCATCAATCAATGACTAAAAGGTAGTCGGTAACCTACCTGTAGCACTCCACTGTATTTGAAATAGTTTCCCCGGCTTCTTTTCCTCCAACCGCATACAATGTTCCCATCATAGATTTTCTGGGTTTCATACGATCTGTGCGAAACAGTCCTCGCTGCTCAGGTATCAGATGATACTTCTTCGCTTCATCCAATAAATCTCTACATTTCAAATTGGAGCGTATCAAGTTGTCTGCATCAATTCGGTCCAGGAGGTAATGTTTTGAAATCAAAGGCATTCGAACGAACTCTATCAAATGAGGGAGTTGTTTCACGCGATTGTTTAGGTCATGCTTTACCCAAGACATAACAGCTTCATACACTTCCTCTTCAGCAATTATGTTCAAGTCATCGCTTGAGACCACTTTCACCAGTAACTCACTCGGTAGCAAAGCATATTCCTCTGATTTCATAACATCCCGAAAGTTTTCCAACACAAAATTGTCCACAACTTCCAGGAAATTAGTACAGCCATGAGTTTCCGTAAATTTCCTGATTCCCAAGCAGTTCGAAGGATCCAACTGTGTTTCCAAAAATTGACAGCATAAATCTCGCACTTCGTGAAATTGCACCAACGATGCCGTTGACAATATGGTTTGTACATTTTCAACATTGACATCAAGCTTTCCCGTGTAAGCAAAATCCACTAACATTTGGATCACAGAGGCGTCTATATCTTTCATGGTAATAACTTTTTGTCGGCTCTCGACCAGATCGCTCGTAAACATGGCGTAGAAGTACGAACTGCAGGCTGCCAATACCGCCCTGTGAGTTGGAATATGTTCGTCTCCAATTTTAAGAACGACATCACACAGCTTAAGGCAATCTTTCCTGTGTTTGTTCATTGTTTCCAGAACGCGGACACTGTGTGACAAGGACGAAAAACGAGACGAAACATCCCAGTCCACAGGTCTTCCCGCGACATCCATGGTCCTGATTTGTTAGGAATGTCATCTAATTGTTTCTCGTCGTGGGTAGTAGGTTCGTGAGGCCTGGGCCTTAGTTTAAAGAGAGGTTCTGTCGTCGTTACACAACATTTTACACCACATATTCTAAGGTCAGATGTTTAGCCGCTGGCTCCTAACCGCTCGGGACCACTCGTGCACACTCCGCCTAGTTTTTTTTCCGCGTTGAATGGATTAGTTCTTGTGCTAAGTATTGCTATTACGACTATGAGACAGAATTTCTAATCACGTTACTTTACGCCGAGCTGAGGGGGGAATCCCTCCGTCAGTTGTTCCGGTTAAGAGATTTATAGAAAACGAGCTGCAGGCAAATATTGAAGGTAAGATAAGATATGCTCTTTTATTTACCATATTTGTGAGTCAGTGTCAGAGTTAAATTTCTCACATGGAATGTTTTATATTACTTCATCCAAAGATCCGACGAGAGTCATGTCCAGTTCACCCAAAGGAGGTTAGGAAATCAAACAACTCTTAAAGACAGAGTTCTTTTTATCCATCACGCGAGTTATAGCTTGCCCTGTGCATTAATGCTCTTATACATAAACAAATATATGCAGCCTGCTTCAAACATAATGTGTTGTTCTTAATTATTTTACAAAGGAATTAATCCAGACGCATAATTGATTTCAGCTAAATGGTTGCTTCAGAAAATGAGAGATTTATTCCACTTTGATTTACACTAAAGAAGCTCTACTTTTAGTGAAGCTATGATTATCTAGACAGGTAGTAAAATTTGTGTTTCTTAATTTTCACTTTCTCCTATCAATTATCTTATCTTTTGGCCTCATGTCTGAGATGATATGCAAGATTTAGTGCAACAGGCAAGGTACAAAATAATGGAATAGCTAAACATGCACTTTAGTAAAGTGCTCAATGGCTGTTGAAATTTGATATTTATGGCCTAATTACTTACATTTGATACCTTCAATAATTACCATTACTTTTTAAAAATTATTTGTGCTCTGAAGTGTACTCTAATGCAGTCACAGCTGTGGGTTTTCTATGTTCTGTTTAAACTGGTATTCAGGTAGCAAACATATCATTTATGACCTTGTGTTTCATTAGTTTGGAAGTGTAGGCTGGAAAGTGCATTACATACAAGGTCATTCTGAAAATTGTTACCTGTGTAGTGAATCTGAAGTCTCACTTTGTTAATTACAGGAAAGAAAGGGAAAAAACAAAAGCCTAGTAAATTTGATTTTACAAAAAGTCATCCATCACCTACCACATCCCCATCGTAAGTGCTATTTAAGGTTTATTTTGCATTCTTGTGACACAGCATGTCCAAGTTGTTGCTAGCAAAGCCCGAATCAGATGTAGCAAATAATAATTCATTAGAGTTCACTAATTAATGATTAGTCAGCAGACCCTTAAAGGCTACCCCTTGTTATTTTAGATAACAGATTGAATGATCATCTTTGCCTAGGTTAGGGTTAGAAGTTTTAACCCTTTAACTCTTAGATCAAATTTTTTCTCCTCACTGTCAACATAATTCTTATAATGTTAGTTGAGAGAATTAAGTATTGGATCAACTAATGATCCCCAAATTGATATTTTTCTTTATTCTCATTACTTATGTGGTTGATAGTGTATTAATATTGTAAGGAGAAATTCTCTCTTGGTCACTCATGGGAGTTAAAGGGTTGAACCAACTTCGGCATGTTTTATTTATTTTTGGATTAACTTAAACAATATTGATCAAAATATATTTGTTGGTAGATATTTATTGTTAGATTATAGAAGATCACCTCAAAAGTCAGCTATTTACTTTGAATAACTGAGTACTTGGTTCATCCTACCTAATTTTCAGCACCACTCCACCCAGGAATTTGAGTGATAAAGCTACACTTACTGTTAATGGCAAGGTTGGTACTTTGTCACTAATTGATCAACAGTCTAGAAGTTTTCTTGTTCTCTTTCTCTCTTTCTGTAAGTTATTATGAATATTCTCTAGGCAGGAAAATCTGAAATTGCATCATAATGGACACTACACAAGCAATTACTCAGGAAAATACCCCAAGGTATTAACAAAACAGAGGTAGTTTTTCTGACCATTTTATGGTACATCAGAGGTAGACAATATTTCTTGTTCTTTTTATGCTTATTACAGGACTTTGAATGTAATGCAGATGATTTAAAGGAAATAAAGGAGCTAGGACATGGAGCATATGGTTTTGTTTACAAAATGCAACATCAACCAACAGGATTTATAATGGCTGTCAAAGTAAGTGTAAAATACTTTTTCCAGTTTTAGAATAATTTTACTGAGGTTCCTCAGTAGTGTTCTTCAATCCTGCAATCTCAACTAAATTTTCCATCGCAATCCTGGCCAATTATACTAACCAATCCCAATTCTGACAAAAAAATTCTTGTTTTAGTCCATTACCTAAACTCAAAAGGGCCTTTTTATTAGCTCTTGATATTCTTTACCAGCATTGATTCATTGAAGTCTCTAGTCACTGTAAGGCAAAAGTTTATCTCTTTTGACCAAAAATTTTGCTCGTTTTATTAGTTTTCAAATTTTTGCACAAATAACATTGGCTAGTCATGGTAACAAGTTCCTCTAATTCAACTTTAATAATAATTCTAATAATTTTATTTACCCTACAAAATTGACCAGCTAGTACCATAATAAAAGCTGGTATCAACCAATGTGTAGCTATATATAAAAAATAAAAACCCTTTAACTTCTATCTCAATAAATAATTCTTAAAAAAATTATTATAATACCTTGAAATATAAACCTAAAATATATTTAAATATATTTATATTTAAATAGTATATTTATATTATTTTAAATATAAATATTAAAATTTAAAATATCAACAACTAGAAAAAAATCAACTAAAAATTAAACCTAAATTAGCAAGCTACAATGAAATTTAACATCTAAATCTCTAAAACAACCATATAACTCAGTCTTTAACCTCTTCAAAAAGTTTATATCTCTAATGTACTTAGTAAAACTATCTTCTGCAGCGGAATACTGAAAAATGGTTCGGCCAGTATTTGTTTTGACCTTGGGAAGATGCAATAAAGTCTTGCGTAAATTTCTTTTATGAATATGAGATCTATATATAAGATAATCTGCCAGTTGATACGGGCAACTAATATTATGTACAATCTTAAAAGACAATATCTCAGATTTTGAAAAACCTACTGGGACCCTCTTTACTAGTAATATGAATTTTTTTATAATTTAATTTATTTTATTATCATCAGAGAATACGTGCCAATGTAAATTCAACAGAGCAGAAAAGGCTTTTGATGGATTTGGATGTGTCGATGAGAGTAACTGACTGCCCTTACACTGTACATTTTTATGGAGCACTGTTTAGAGAGGTATGACTCAAAGGGTAATACTTACACTTGACCTTAACAATTCCTGCTGCTCTGGAGCTTGTCTTTGTTCTATTAGAACTGTCCAATTTGATTCATTTTGACAAATATTGGACAATTCATTATGCCAGATGTTGTTCAATTAAATGAGAGGACCTATTTATTCACCAGGGAGATGTCTGGATTTGTATGGAGCTCATGAAAGCATCACTAGACAAACTTTACAAAAAAGTTTATGCCACTCCTGGCCGAAGGGTGCTTGAAGAAGTCCTACGGGAAATAGCCATTGCTGTAAGTTTTGACAGATTTACTCTCTCCTAAGCTATGCACAACATGGTTATTGTGAAGGCTGTGTTGTAATTGTAACTGGAGATATCAGAATTTTCTTTCAGATGATAAATTGCTGCTGTAACAGTCAATGTGCTGTCTATAACAGATATGGTATTCTTGTTGATAATTATTTTGATTGAGTTAGGAGCTTATAATAAATGATGGCGCTAAATTTGACACCACCCCCACCTGCCTCTTACAAGTACAAAAAAATTCATATTTGAAATAATTATGTTTTATTTACTGACACACAGATGGTCCATGCATTAAATTATCTTCACAGTAAACTGCATGTAATCCACAGAGGTAAGCACTTGATTTATCATTAGTTTTCCTTAATATTTTTTACCATATTTTTTTATTTTGATTAAAACACCAAAATGCTCTTCCATGTTTTCCTGCTATGATAGCCCCTTCAGAAAGTTGAAAGAACTTGTAATGAAAAAAGTTTGTAAATCATGAAGAAAGTGATAAACAGCTTTTCTTTAGAATATGTTACTTTGATTTTGGGTTAAGTTTTTGTAACAATAATGAATGATTTACAATAATGTTTGTAGGAGATCAGTTAAAGTTTTCTCTTGAGCCTATGGTCCTTGATTTTGTGGCAAAAGTAAACCTTCAGCATTTTGTCTTATTTTTCTGATTGACTGACCAGCATTGCTTATAATGGGTGTATAAAATAATCTTGGTGAGAGAGATTAATGGTTATAGTAAAAGTGTCTTGCTTAAGAATTCAGGACAGTGAGTATTTGACAAGGGGTTCAATGTGATCCCAAGTCAAGGACACTAACCATTATATTCCATTGTACTTCCCACCTGATGTAGATCATAAGGTGAGCAACAACAACTACACCACAATTTTAATAGGGTGCCAAATTACAATCATCAAAGATTGTATGCTCTTGTGGTCCAAAGAGTTAAACAAAAACTGAAATCACCACAGATTATTTCAATTGCTTTATTTATAGATGTGAAGCCTTCTAACATTTTAGTGGATGAAAAAGGAAATTTTAAACTGTGTGATTTTGGAATAAGTGGTCAGCTGGTAGACTCACTGGCAAAAACTGTTGATGCAGGATGCAAACCTTACATGGCAGTAAGTATTTTTAAAATCACAAGTCACTCAAGAAAATGATATGTGCCTAGATGAGTTGTTCAAGGGCTAAATATGATAAATAGTATGGATTATGACATTTTTCTAATTTCTTTTTTTTAGCCTGAGAGAATCAACCCAGCCAAAAACATGGAAGGATATGATATTCGCTCTGACATTTGGAGCCTAGGAATCACTATGGTAACTTATACATACTAAGTCTTGTGCTTCCCCCAAATCAATGCGGTACCCAATACATAAGGATACTTGCTCTTCCCTGAAACACCACAGTACCCAACATATAGTTTTACTAGCAAGTAAAACAATTGAAGAAAAAAAGCCTGAAGATTTTGTCGGGATTCAAACCTATACTACCCAGAAAGTGATTGTAGAGGCTCTATCCTGTTCTTTTAAACTTGGGATCAGATTTCTCTCTAGGATAGAAACAAACTAATTTTAAGTACCCAATAGCTACTTATGAGCAACAAATGAGAGGGATTGATTCAAGGATTCTAACTATGACTCCAAGGTTGTAAATAGTGGTCCTGTCTTTTACAGATAGAACTGGCAACTGGTAAATTTCCATACACTCAGTGGAAGACACCATTTGAGCAGCTGAAACAAGTTGTTCATGAGCCTTCACCAACTCTTCCTGATGGGGAACCATACTCGGATGAATTAAGAGATTTTGTTGTTCAATGGTAATTTTCAATTTTTGGCAAGCCATATAACCCTTTTTAATTTACCCTTTCACACTGGGATCTTAATCATAGTTTGATTCTCCTTACTGTTATTCATAAATAACTTTAATATCATTTGTGAAAATTAGTTATGAAATCAGTTCAACTATTTGATATTATTTGAGGTCTTTGTTCTCATCTCCTAAAACCATTGGCAATGGTTGGCTGTATGGTATTCAGGTTAATCAAAGTAATCATTTAGCTAACAGGAGAAACTTCAGGGTTAATGTTGTTTTACCTTTAATTTGAATCTGCAGCTTACAGAAAGACTACAGTAAAAGGCCTAACTATGTCTCACTCATGGTAAGTAGACATATCTTAACGTCAAAAATTGTTAAGACAGCCATATATTCTTAAAATTTTATTCACTTTGCATGCTGCATACTTGACTTTTTAGTGATCAAGGAATACATATTTTATAAACCTTTTGAGGTAATGGTTTTTCCATCATTTTGATAACTTTGTTAAATAAAAAACCATTAGTATGAAAGACATCACATGCTGTGGAAAAGTCATTAACAAGGTTTTTTCTTATAGATGTTTTTTTTGCAAAATTGATATTTAAATTTGTTGCTACCTTCTAGTTATCTCAGAAAAAGACTAAATTATTTAGAATGTATTGACAGATAATATAATTGTAATTTGTTTGTAGTCATAATTCCTTTTCTATTTTACCTTGACCAGGAGCATAATTTTGTAAAAGGAAATGGAACAGATGGTAGTTTTGACACCCAAAGTTGGATAACACCCATATTGCAAGAACTGGAACAGTCAAGTTTATAGTGAAGGGAGACTGTTTTTTGTTTGTTTGTTAGTTTTTTTTTTCTCTTATTCTCTGTTGTAAACTGGACAGAGTAAAAATAGCATTATTTGGCTCAGTTATTATGTGAAGGATTTTAAGAAGTACTTCCTTGTAATCCTTTTTTTTTTTAATTAAGAATTGTGGTATATAACATATATTGACTGGGAACGTGAAAATGACTTATTGTAACAGAAAGGTGCATTTTAGATAAATCTGTCAAGATAATCCAATCTGCCAAATTTCAGATTCTCGTGTCTAACCATTAAAAACATTGATCAAAGCCAGTTTCTGGAGGCTAACAAAAAAATGATATGTACTATCACAGGCTTTACTGACACATTCTTTGAATGAGGTGAAAAAGCTCAAAGCAGTGGGAAAAGAGAGAGGTCTTTCTTGGTGGATTCTCTCTTCTTAAACCCTCTGATTTCTCAAAATTGGATTGGCACTGTACATTTTGGTTGACGTTTTGAATAGTTAGGGTTTTTTTGAAATTGAAAATACTGAACAAAAGATTCTTGATCTTGTTTCTTACACTTTGATACTAATATTTCCCAAATGTTCTCAAGCCATTGACACCAATTTTCAATGATTCTTTAAATTCTGTGTTAGGTATAATTTCCCTTTGATGAATTCCACTGAGCTTGATCCCTACTTTTCACTTGATGTCAACATGTAAAGACGTGAATGACTACACAGATTGTCTTAAAGCAAGTGCACACACTAATAATCTTAAACTAGAATTCTAACTCTCCCATTCTGAGATCAAGAACAAACCAATTCCAAATTACATGTGCTGGAAATATATTTTTTGTTATTTGATTGAAAAGGGTAAGAATATTCTTTCCATCTCCTTAACTTGGTTTTGAAATAATTTGAGGAAATTTTGTGAGTAGCTTTGAACTAGAAGGATCTTTTTGAACGACTTTCCAAAGGAAGGTAATTTGGAAGATTAGTTGTCTTCTTTCTTTCTAGTATAATACAAACTTTTAGACAGCCAAGATGCAATTGTTTTCCTTTTTGTGGTTTTAATTACTAAAACTTTCCCCAATTAAGAACAAATATTACATTTTTAAGTCTTTTATTTGGTTTAGTACCCTCCTGCTAAATTCGAATGTTTAAATGGGAAGAATGGGGACTGCAATGGTTCCAATTTTTTACAAAGCAACCAGTGAATGTAAAATTATCTTCACTTACCATGTGCAGCTATTAATGAGCAAACAAAAATAAATGCCATTGGTTAATTATTTTAGAAGAAAAGATAATATAGGGTAATCTCATACAGCTCTTAACCCTAAGGCCTTATTGTGTGTAAATCTGCGGTGTATAATCTCAGTCACCATCACTTGGTGATAATGCTGTAATATCTTTTGTTAGTGAAACTATCAATTTTACCAGCCAGTTACTGGCATCAAATTTCATGAGTGACAGATTCTACCCTTTGTTAAGGTAAAGCTGTAATTTAAATGTTTCCAGTGAAGGAGAGTGCAAAATGAACATAGTACAGTTTTATAGTTATTAGCTGCTGCCTTGCTTGATTCTTGGAACCATTTTCGTTGTTAAAAAACCCTTTCAGCTAATAATTCCATTCTGCTCTATTTGAAACCTGGTTGCCATCAGCAATATATTGGACGGCGGCGCGATTTTGAAATCATCAAAGGTATCCTACAGTTTACGTTAAGTTATACCGTGAACCCTAATCCTGTTCTACCTCTCCCCTACGTTGTGCCAATTCGCAGAAGAACGACTACGTAATAACATATTGACCAATCAGGGACATTTCGTTAACAAGCCACATGGGTGTACGTCACTAAAATTTGCTATTCGGATATCTTTTTGCCGGCGACCCTTGAAATTTTTCGATCTCGAACCTTACTGCCTCTCGTTTGATCTTATCTTCGACTTGGAAGGCCTTGCGAACCCATACATATTAACAAATCATGTCTCGTTTTGATAGAGGTCGCTCCTTTGATCCAGGGAGCCGTTCAGAGCGTAAAAGGTAAGGCAAACTGACCCAGATCCTTAGGCGCCATTCCCTCCTTTGCATTGTCGTTTCTAATTCACTGTTGTCTTCGCTGATTCTTGAGAGACAATTTCTGTGTCTTAGATCCCAAGGTATTTTTTTCATAATGGTTTCTTAACCTTTGCACAGGTCATTTTGTAGTGCTTCAAGGCGAATTTGTGTAACATGAAATTCGCTTTTCACGAATGCCACATGCGATTTTTTCACACAATGCAACAGGAATTTTGTTTTCGACGAGTTAGTAGTCGTCCTTTTGTCGGGATATCGTAGGTTAGGGTGATTTTGGCCGGGCTTGATATGCAAGTTGCAATCGATGGAGATAGTTGCAGCACTTGAAAAGTCTACCGTCAAGTTTAATTATGTAAACGTTTAAGAAAGTGTAGCGGTGTTTGAAAGGATAATGGACTAGGGGAGAGAGATCTTTTAATAATCATTTTTCAGCTTCCATAATCTTTTTTAGCTATTTAAGCTCAAGACATCGACACTTAAATAAAATTGTTATATTATGTCAAGCGACGGTTAACCTGTTTGTTGTCTCTAAACCTGAAGTGTAATGTATATAGTAATCAAAAGTTTCATGATTCGTTCGTATGGTTTTGTTTTCTAATGTAGTTTTGTATTGAAGATGAACGAAGTTATTCTTGTATCTTTGTAGCTTTGGAGGTGGTGGGGGTGGTAGTAGAGGAAGTGGCCGAGGTGGTTTTGGTGGAGGATCATTCAGAGGGGGGGGTGGTGGTGGAGGATTTGGTGGCAAAAAAGACAAGTTAAACAACAGCCCAGGACAGCATCTTAGGAAACCAAAGTGGGATCTAGATGCCCTGCCCAAATTTAAGAAGGATTTCTACCGAGAACATCCAAATGTGCAAAACAGATCCATGGTAAGAATGATTCCAAAATTTTCTCTGATTTACTTTGATTCAGTGTGTTAGTGACTTAACTTTCAAGAATCTGTGAAAGTTCATGAAGTGCGCAATAGTCAGTTACACAGCAGACCTCCAGACAAATACAAGCCTTCCTTCATTGTTAATGGTAGTAAGGGTTTGTTGAACTTGATCATTAATATTGTATATCCTTTATTAAACATTTTCAATAGAGCAGAGTTAAAACACCTCTTGATTTTGTAATTTTAGCAAGAAGTTGAGGAATACAGGAGACGTTCTCAGCTTACTGTTCAAGGGAGGAATGTCCCTAAGCCAGTAGTAACATTTGAAGAAGCTAGTTATCCAAGTAAGTGTTCTTGATTGGTTAAAATAAATAGTAGTTTTTAGGGCAGGCAGTGTTCACACTCTGATTGTGTTGCGTCATGGTTGTAAAACAAAAAGTGAGTTATTTGCATCCTGACCTGGTTGAGTGAACACCTTTAAGTGGCAGCATGGTAGCGTGAATATGAGTGGAATGTAATGAGGATTCACTGTCTGTAGCCATTCCTTGAAAGGTTAAACAGTGTTTACAGGCCTGTGCAATTCCTGTTATTCCTCCATGAGGAATTTGACTCTTAGGAGGCGACTGACAAGATTCAGAAAGAATCGCAACTGCAGTCTTGCCTAAGAAACTACACAAATGGTAGCAGTTACATTCACAGCCAATGGCTGTGTGAATAACATTAAATTCAGAAAATACATTCTTAGACATGAGTTATTTATTAAACACATTACAGACACCTTCGAGACAGACACCTTTGAATACAAGAACTTTTTTTGTGTCATCCACCTGGCGTAAATATGGGATTTGTCAAAGAAGCCCTTCGCCTGCTAAGAACAAATTCATCATGCTCTACGTTTAAAAATGTGCAGAGTTTCTTAATATTCTTAAAGAATAGAGGATACTTTTATCAAGGTTGTAAGAAACATATCTCCAAAGTCATTTTCTGCAGGAGAGAAAAAACAACATATGCACATAGGAGAAAATTTATATTGCCTTTTGTAATAAAATTTCATCCAACTTTGTTAAACCTCTAAAATCCTACAGAAGGGGAAATGGCACTTTAAAACTAATCCTTATTATCACATCCCAAAGGAAAATCATTAAAAGATATCCTCATAACAGCTTAACTTTGAGGGCAGAAGATTTTAAAGCTCTAGTAAACAGCAAGAGTTGCACAAGCCTATCAACACCTTCAAATAGTCAACTACCTTTTGTTTTCCAGCTTACCCGGCATGTTGCCTTGCACACCGTAGAGTTATTTATTGGTCAAGGGATTCCTTTCACTGTGCCAATTCAACTGTCCTTCATTCAATGATCATGATAAAAGATTTACCATACAACACTTGCTAGTGGTTAATTTGCTTTTACTTAGGAAAGTAGATTTACAACATGATTGAGTATATATAGGAAATGTCCTTACAATAGTAATGCTGTGTAATGCAATACACTAAACTCAACAATAGGCCTTTTGCGGCCATAACCAGTCTCAAACACAATCACTTAAAATGCATAAAACACATGTACTGTTGGGGAGCATTTAGGGCTTTTAAGAGCATTTAGTTAGCTGTTAAAGAAAGATGGAAGTGGCCATTCAAATCTTTGAAGGGCTTCAAACTACAACGTACATCAAATTTGACCTTCTCAAAAGCCAGTCTTGAGTTACATACTAAAAAACATTGATTGCATTTGTACTTGAGAAGCATTGAATATGTGACAAATGCATACCAAAAATACTTCTGCAAATTCAGAATCAATCAAATTTCATTCACCTATGGTGAAAGAAAAAAGGAACAGCCAACTTATACAGAACCTTCAGCCAATATCAGCCAATTTCTGTGGCTTTTACTGTCATATTGAAAATAACACTACCACAATGCAACACAACAGGAGTGTGCACACTGCCTGATTTCATGGTAGTAGTTCAAGGGTTGGCATCATTTTATTCTGACAAATTATTTTCTCCCTCAATGTTAGTACTTAAAGTTTTTTAAATTTATTTTTAAAAAAAAACTTTCTTCCATCAGTTAAGTGTGCTTTAGACTTTTCTGGACAGTTTTTACCTTAAGCATGACTGCAACATATTAAAATATGTTGTTCATTTTGTCTCATACATGAGCTAAAGAACAAATTTGAGTGCTCAGCAAGGAATCAAACCCTAGACCTTTGAATGGAAGAGGATTTGGCTGTAGTTGGTATTTAGTGTTAATTGCTTTCTAACACTAAAATTAACAACCTGCTCTCTTCAGATAATATCATGGATACAATAAGAAGTGAAGGATTCCAAGAACCAACAGTAATACAAGCCCAGGTATTCTTAGATATTTCAAAAACTCGTTAATAATTCATAAGCCCATTAACCTATCAAATGGTAGATAATACATCATGTGCAGTGACTTTTTATCGATAAACCTCATCCTTATTAGTATGCGGTGTTTTATCAGATATAAAGACACTGCACGTGACTTATGAATATTAATTAATTATCAACACAGAAACTGACACAACAAATGGTGGGAACATATTTAATGTTCTTTCAACAAATTTCACACAGTAAATTTACTTTTGCACCAAATTAATAGTACAGTTGTGAAAGACACATCTGGAAAAATTCTCTATTCCATTAGTACAGTAATCTGGTAAAGGCATATTAGACAATACATCATCTTGATGTATCATCATCATCATGTATCATCATCTTGATGTATCATCTTGATACATCATCTTAGCTCTGGAACAGGATGCCATGTCCTCTTCGGTTAGTAGAAGAAAAGTACAAAACACGTGTGAGATTTGATTTTCTTGCATACTAATTTAATCCCAAATGTTTTTCTCGTATGCTTATTTCTAATGTTCACAAAAGCATAATTGTTATGAACTCTCTTGACACACTCTTTTCCAAGAATGTTTTTGAAGCCGTTCAAAAAACTCGCAGCACATGTTTTATCCTGCTCGTTTTTTAAACATTACATAAACAATAACCTCTATTTGGCACAAAAGCATGCACAGATGTTTGTCCATGAATGTTATCTGTTCCAAGATGTGAACAGTTTATTGAGAATGAAGCGAGAGGAAAAGTGGGAGCTTGGAGGAAGGGCAAATATACAAGCATAGTTTTGCACAAGATAGAGGCTTTTGTGTTTTTCCAAGTATTTTACAATAGGTAAAAAAATGTTTATGAACAGCTTACAGTTTGTTGCATGGAAAGTTTTCTTTTGATTTTTGTTTTTTCCAGTACAACTTAATGAACAAACAAATATTCCTCCCTTCTGTAACAACCATAAAATGCTCTCTCATCTTGAATTATATTTCAAACAAAGAATTATCATAGTGGACATAAGGTTTGAAAGTTGGGGAATATCACTCGGGTGATATCCTCAGTTATCCTCCAGTTTTAGTGGGGAACTATTCGGTCATGTAATGCACTTAAACCAATCATGCACAAACAAAAATATTTGATGGATCATAAACATATATATGCAGTAATGCCTGCGTGTACTCTAGCACCTAGATGAACACTCAGTCCCTGTAATTTGGGGAATTTTTATGCATATTTCTTGTGTGTGTGGTTACCCACATGCAGTAGAAATTATACATATGCAATGTCTACACCCAAATGCAATTTTAAGTCATTTTTTGGCATTCAGTACATCCATATGCATGTGCTCTTTCCCATGGAAGTAATTGCTGTGGGAATCTGTATCTGCAGGGTGTGAAATTAATTTTTTTTTCTGATAGCCACTTGGCTCCTAAATTTTTCAAAGTGGTAGCCAATTCAAAAAAGTTAGTCCCCATTTTTAAAGACAAACAAGACCTTTTTTTACACTGTCACTGTTCTAGATAGACCTTTCAAAATTAAGTTAGGAAAAAGATCTTCAATGTGCTACTAAGTGGACACTAGGATGGATGATGTACAACGTTCAAGCTCAACTAAACCCAAGATGGCATCTAGTTATCTATCAAGATACATGTGCTGCATTTTGGAAACAAACTTAACGAGGAAGTTTGCCACAGATTTATCTTTGCTAATCTTTTTAATTCTCTATAACTCTAAGTAAAGTTACGATGAAGCATTCTAGTCACCAATTTCTATCTGTGGGAGCCTGTATTTCACAATTTATTTAATTAATTTACTTTGAAAAATGGTAAAATCCTGTTGCATTCTTAATTACATACATGCAGGTGCTTGTTGTGACATGCAGTATGCTTGTTTCAACCTTGCACTACATGGAGATTACATGCACTTCATCTAATGCTGCATTGTACAAGATCACTTCTGTATTTATTCATCAGTTGGGAGTTCTCTACTGGTAAAACTGTGCCCAAAGTCTTAGATACCATCCAGGTCCACAAATATTACCTAGTTATTTGTCTTGTTTGCTTTCTTTTAGGGTTGGCCAGTTGCACTAAGTGGAAGGGACCTTGTTGGAATTGCACAAACTGGATCAGGAAAAACTATCTCTGTAAGTTGTACTGATTCTTTGCAGTGTAAGAAATGCTAAATAATTGTGATCATTGTTTTTTACTTGTTATTGAATTGCATTGGTTAACTGCAATACTCTATTGTTTGCCTTCCTCAGTTCATTTTACCAGCAATAGTTCATATCAAGCACCAACCTCTTGTCCAGCGTGGAGAAGGTCCAGTGGTAAGATTATTTCATTAATGATTTGAAAGCTCTTTGTTGGAAGTTGAGATAAACCATGACCAGGATTTTTTTTTAGAACTGTTGAAGTAGAATCAAAACTGATGAGTGTGATCTAAAGAGTTTTTTTTTAACTTTCATTTTTGAAGCCATTTTAGTTTTGGAGACTTACTTTAGAAAGGAAATTGCAAAGTCAGTGAATACAACTGATTAAAGAATATATTCTGTCAAAAGATATGCTAATTAGAGTACTAGCCATATGCCTATAACAGGGCATTTTGAAAGAACAAAACTTGACATTCCAGTTTCCTTTTTTGAGTATTCTTGGTTAGCAGTGGTTTATCTTTGCTAATACACATTGCTCGGTCAAATGGAAATGGCGCTGTTATTTTCCTATTAGGCTCTTGTCCTTTGTCCTACAAGAGAATTGGCACAGCAGGTGCAAACTGTGGCCTTCCAGTATGGTCGCAATACCAATGTCAAAAGTGTGTGCATCTATGGAGGGGCACCCAAGGGACCCCAAATTCGTGAGCTTGAAAAAGGTGAGGTAGCCATAACAATATATGCACTACTCAAAAGATTCTGGTGTTAATTCAAATTTTATATTTCAGTAGCTGTGTTCTGAGAAGTATTAAACTACAGAAGTGTCAATCAAAGTTAATTTAATTTAGACTTAAAATTGAACTTCTGAATGTAGGACTTAATTGCTGGAAAGTTTGTCCAGAATAAAACTTTCCATTCAGGATGCCTGAATAAACTGAATTTCTTAAATCTCTCTTTGAAATGTACCAACCTAGTGAATAGTTAAAAGGTGTAAGTGTTTGTAGAGTCCCAGTTAGTGGGTTTTCATTCTTTTGCTGCTATGAACCTTGAGTGCTATCATCAATTCTTGTACCTGGGTTTAGGGTTAGCAACTTAGTTCCTGGTAATGATGTGTCCTCATCTTCTATGAGAATTTTTTCTGTTTACTGGAGACAGGGATGGGAGTCTTTGATTTATGTTACCTCTACTATTCCTGGTTTCAGGGGTGGAGATATGTATTGCCACACCAGGAAGATTGATTGATATGTTGGAAGCTGGTAAAACAAACTTGCGACGCTGCACATTTTTGGTACTTGATGAAGCAGACAGGATGCTTGACATGGGCTTTGAACCACAGATCAGGACAATTGTTGAACAAACAAGACCAGACAGACAGACACTCATGTGGAGTGCTACATGGCCCAAGGAAGTGCAAGGGCTGGCAGCTGATTTCTTGCGGGACTGTGTTAACATCACAGTTGGCTCAGTGGGGCTCACTGCTAACCACAAAATCTTACAGATTGTGGATGTTTGTGATGAAACTGAAAAAGACTACAAGTAAGTTGAAAGTTTGTCTTTGCATAGGAAGTTCTAATTACCTGCAGATAAAAGTTTTTTCTGGAGATGAAGTTTGTTCGTTTGTCTCACAATAGAGTCACTTTAGCAATCTACATCAAAAGTGACTACATCATGAGACAAACAAACAAAGTTTTTTCTGTCTTGCACATGAACTTTGAAATTTCTTTTTTGCAAATATTGATTTTATTGCTTTTTATCTGTGTGTAGAACTTAGAGAACAGGCTTTAAGTCATCTTTGCCCCCTATGTTTCTAATGGTATAAAATCAAGAGTAATAGTTGAACCATAATAGCTCAACTATAACGTGATTCACTAACACAATTTTTATTATTTTTACAAGGTTGATCAAGCTTTTGGAAGAGATAATGGGAGAGTCTGAAAACAAGGTATTCTTGTCGTTTATATATAGATTCGTAAAGGTGAAAGAATGTATCTGTGGGTTCTATTTTCCTCTGTTGTATTTCTATTAAATTTGTATGTTTATTGTAGTCACTCATTTTTACTGAGACAAAGAGAAGAGCAGATGAACTAACAAGAAGGATGCGTAGAGATGGGTATGTCTTGCTTTCTACTTAATACATGTGGAAGGAGGTGTTATCTGATGGATTGAGCAGCTGATGAATTAAAATTTCATTCCTGAAATTTTCATGTTGACCATTTTGAATTCCTCGTTACTGATGCTCTCTGCTAATGTGTAGTCTGCTGTGTTTTAGTCTTTCCGGTTATATTTGTTCAATAATTACAATTATCTGTTTACTTCCCTTGATGTAGATGGCCAGCAATGTGCATTCATGGGGACAAATCACAGCCTGAAAGAGATTGGGTATTAAATGGTATGTGTGGCTTTAAGCCTTGATTAGGTGAATGAGGTGTGTCCCTGGGAGAGACACTAAACTTTTCTATTGCCTTCCTCCATTCACTATTGTAAATAGGAACTGGAAAACTTTCAGGGAAACTTGATGGATTGCTGGGGATAGTCTGTGATGAATGTGCCTTCATTTAGGAGGGAAGCAACACTCCTGGTTGTTTCATGTTGTGGAACTGTAATTTGTCCTGTGGCTGCTAGGCATAAAGGTTGACTGGACAAAATTTTATTTCTGAATTAAAGAGCCAGGATAAATGCATTAAGAGTTAAAAGTATCCACATAATTTATTACATAAACCTGTCATGGAACTTAAAATGGAAAGGAATGTTTAGAAATGTTTGAGATAGGGTTTAACAGCCCTCTCAGGACTAGATAACAAGTTGTGCTAGCCTAAATAGTGTATTTACAAATAAAATGAACCTTTTAGAGTTTGACTTCTTTGTCTTTTAAATTTCAGAGTTCAGGAAAGGTAATGCTCCTATTCTGGTTGCTACTGATGTTGCCTCCAGAGGACTAGGTTTGTATATGTTTTTCTTACTAGTTAACCAGCACAGCAAAAATTTTGGGTTTCTTTTTTTTTACCTATGCTAATTAGCTATCTAATTAGTTTTATTACAGTGATAAAACATTAATGAATCTTCTGGAGTGTAGTGGCTTTTGTGTCGGTCTTTTTTTCAACTGTCTTATTTACTAACTCTACATTCTATTTTTTAATCCCAGAGTAGGATTATTCTTTTTAATCCGAGGGTTCATCATCCTTGCTGTGGTTACTGTTTTCCTTGATTGGAGGGAACTGTGCATGACCTTGGTTTGTCAGCTGAGCTGGAGGGAAAGGAGCAGTTTCAATAACTCCTTCTTTTTTAAGATGTTTAGCTTGCATAGATACCAGAATTTTCTTTCCATAAAAAGTGTAAAAAATAAATTTTACTTTGCAATCTTGTGGGCCACTGTCAGAAGCACTTATGCATACAGCTATAAAATATCCTACATCTCAGGAAATTTCTCAAGTTACAGAAACAACTGGCGAAATAGAATTTTCACAATAGGAGAACATTTATTGCTCCAGATACTTTTTAGTTTGCTGTGGTAAAAGTTTGTGTTCTGGTAGGAAAATATAGTGTCTCCTCTTTTTAGTTACTTGTGGTGGCAATTGCATTCATGAATAGCTATTGCTATCTAGAATGCTGGCTGCTGGTCTCATTTATCTGTGCTTCCATGAACATGAGACTAGAATCAAAGCTTGAATTTCAATTAAACTGTGTTGAAGAAAGAGCAAACAGTGGAGTTGTGTTTGATGGTTGTACAGATGGAGTTAGGTTCCACAGTAATGTAAACATTTGTGGGTCCTGGCAGATTCAGCTTTTGTTGCATAAATGTACTATCTGTACAACCTCAAGCTCTTAAGTCAAAGTCCAGTGCTCTGACTTACTATTTCCTTGAAAACAACTCCAGTGCTAAAACATCAAAGGCAACTTGCTGTCAGCTTAGTATTTATTTTCCATCCAAACAATTAATGAAGATGTCAATATTAATAAAGCACTGGGCTTTGACTTATAAGTTCAGTGCATTAGGTCAAAATTTCTCTGTTTTGTATACAGAAAGTCTCTTATGCACATGTTAATGTAACTAAAATGGAGTTAAAAAACATGCAGGTAAATTTACTAATTCTGTTGCACCTTATCCTATATCTTCTATGTTGTGTCGCAATGTAGTGCTGAATCAAAAGGGCCCACAAAGTTTGCATTCTGTTCACCTTACGCAGCAGGCAGATATGCCTGCATTGCTTTTAATGTGTCAAAGAGAAACCCTCTTTTCTGTTCCTTCCCTCCCAATCATCTGGACGCGCTGAGTCATGGTTTGGTTCCTGCTTCAAGTGTAACCTGGTGAATATTTTTTTATGCCGGCTCCCAGAGCAGAAATGATAGCTCTAGTATTCAGGCAAGTTTGTTTGGAGAAGTACCAAATTGATGGTCAAATTGTATGTTTAGTATAGTTTTGCACTGCTTTGAAAACTGGTGGAAACTATTAGAATTGAAATGGGAATTGTGAACCATGTTAGTCTAGTTTGATCTTTTAAGTAAGAGTAGTCCTGAACTTGGCTTATGTTATAGTTATGACTGGTACAAGTTATTAAGTCATCTGTATGGTGCCAGGAGTTGTTGTCATCAATTAGTGGCATCATACAAATGTTGCCTTCACAACATTTACACATAAACAAACTAAACAAGGCAACCCATCAATTCTGACATAAAAACTGATCAATTAGGTGGACAGAAGTTTCTGGAGTCTTGTGCCAACCACATCACAGTAGAACTGACCAGGTGATTTCCACAGACAAGACTAATGATTCTTTCTTGACAAACAACTCTCAACTTTACTCTGGTGATGACTTAGTGCAGGTTGAAATGTCAGTCATCACTAGTGACAGCAGTTATTTTCAGGCCTACTCTTACTTGGACAATCAGACTACACAATTATCTCTGTTGGGTTCAAACGATCTACTTCACATGAGTACTAGGAGCTCTTTTCTAATATCTTGTGAGAATTAGGATTAGGGAGCTGGCATTTGGTTTTGATGCCCTCTTTAACTGAAAGCTCATCTTAGTGTTCATTTCATGACAAGATGTCGATTCATTGCATTATATAGATATTTCCGACATCAAATTTGTCATCAATTTTGACTTCCCAAGTTGCTCAGAAGATTATGTGCATCGCATTGGAAGGACAGCAAGGTCTGATCGCACTGGGACCTCGTACACTTTCTTCACTGTTGGAAATGCCAAGCAGGCTAAAGATTTAATTTCCATTTTGAAGGAAGCAAACCAACATGTTAACCCAAAGCTAATTGCACTTGCAGAACAAGCAAAGGGAATGTTTGGTAAAGGTAAGCAAGCCTACTGTACGTTGCTCCTCTGCTTAAATGTTGCCACATGTAGCTTACATGTCATTGATTAAAAGAGAGAGAAGTTTATTCTTTAAATAAGTAAAATGTTGGTCAGGTGGGTTATTTAGGCATGGTTTGGTTGTATTGTAAGGTTGGTGAACTATTTTTAAGTTACTTAGAAGACAACAGTAGATAAAACTCGTGTATTGTGTCATCCATTTAACCAGGGGTTGTCAATGTGCCACTTATCCTATATTTCTTAAATATCACGCAATGAAGCCTTTCATATACTCTCCCCCTCCACTTCTCCTCCCATTGTGCCACCTTGAACTTCCCAAATTTGGCACTAGATGTCCTTTAGTTTTTCTATTATTTTTCTTTAGGGCGAAGCCGTTTTCGTGACAAATCTGCACTGGGGAATAGTGGTCACTTTAACAGGAACAACTATGGGGATTCCCGCAGTGATTCAAGGAGTAGTACTGGAAGCAGATCAGGGGGACATTCAAGCTATTCAGGCGGAGGTCGGGGTTCCTCTGGCAGAGGTGGCAGTCACATGTCCAGTGCCAACAAGTCATTCAATTCCAACCGAAGTCAAGACTCTCGTGGGGTAAGGAGTCACTCACAACAGAATGGCTCATGGAACCATATGGGAACACAACAGCACAATATGATGGGAGGAGGAGGAGGAGGAGGCTACAATAATTACAGCAATTCATATGCACACCAGGCACCTCCTCCACCTCCACCAGGTCCTCCTCCTTCCCACTCAAATCCACCCCAGCCTCTCATGCAACAGCAGCAGTACAACCAAACTACTACATACTCTCAGCCATCCTACCAAGCTTACCAGCAACAAGCTACAAATGCTGGGCAGGGACAAGTACAGCAGACTGCAGGGTGGTCTTAATCAAGAGCAAAGTTAAACCTACGTAACTTTCTACTGCTCTTCTTTGACATTTTATTGAATGATGGTTATTTGCTTTGAAATTAGTTTTCCTTTGATATCCACAAGTTCAGGCTGATGGGAACTCCATGTTCAGTTCTGATTTTAGCTTATCCTTTTCAGTTGCTATTTAGATGAATTTTTTTCTTATTAGAGGATAGTTCTGTGTATTAGAAAAATTACTCCATAAGCGTTTTAGAAGTAGACTGTAGACTTAAACATTGTCAAGGATCAAAATAAATTTTCAGTCAACTGTGATTTTGTTTTTTCAGTCTTTCTCCAATTGTGTTTAAAGGTTGAGCATTCAAGTTCAAGGGTTGGGATGTGTTTTGAAGTGAAATCTGCAACTGCCTCGTAATTTTCAGTTTTCACGTGAATGGCATTGAACTTAACACTCATTTCCTTTTTCCCTGTTAAACTTTTGGTTAGGGAGTCGAGGGGAGGGAATAACCGTTGAACTCCCATGAGTGACGCAGACAGAATTTCTCCTTAGAATATCAATACAATATCAAGCAGGCAAGTGATAAGAATAAAGAGAATTAGTAATTGGGGATTATCAGTCGATCCAAGACCAAATTCTCCAAACAAACATCACAAGAACTATATGGTAGACAATAAGTAGAATTACAAATGAAATCTTGGGGTTAAAGGGTTAAGGGGTGCTTGCACCTAATCTTGAAAGTCAACTAAGTAATAATTTCACTTTAAAACTCTCGTCAACTAAACCTCTACAATTGTTTAAGAGAAAGAATGAGTGACATCGAGAACATCGATGATACGTCATCGAGCACAATTCCTAATTACAGAGTCAAACTTACCAGTATACGGTGGTCATTGTTTAGAAATACTGCATCTATTGTGGATGTGAATTGTAAGGTTGATTGTGAACTTTGTCTTTCCCCGATATTTTAAATGTCATCGTTGGTTGTGGGAACGAATTTTGCAGCACTCGGTCCCTAGACTTGTTTAGGCACTTTGGTTCACCCAACCTGCATGGGGGCTACAGGAGGCAAGGTTCTTCCTGTAATGTCTCCGCCATCCACACAAGTCTTCTCTGGTCATCAGCATCACCATGATGCTGTTAATCTTGAGAACTGACCGTGAAATCCCTGGGAACGAGTTACGTAGGAATCTCTCCGAAATATCTGTAGATATATTTTCAGAACCGGTTCTGACGATGGCTATAGCATCTGTGCCAAAGCTTTACTCTGCATGGTTTTGCCCTTTTGCACAAAGAGCTTGGATTGCTTTGGTAGCAAAAGGTGTAGAATTTGAGTACATAGAACAAGACCCTTACAACAAAACATCAGAATGGTTGACCATCAATCCTCGAGGAATGGTACCAGTTATTGTTCATAAAGGCAAAACAATTTATGAAAGTTCAGTATGCATTGAGTATGTCGATGAAACATGGTCAACGGGGTCAAGACTGCTACCTGCAGATCCCTATGACAGAGCCCATGCAAGAATTTGGGGAGATTTTATTGGAAAGAAAATTGTTCCATCCTTTTATGCTCTCTTGATGAAACAAAACGAGTCTGAGCAAGAGGAGATTAAATCTCAATTGATGAGTCACTTACTTGAGTTTGTGAAAGCCATGGATATTAAAGGACCTTTCTTCCAGGGTGAAAAGTTGGGCTATGTTGACATCATGTTGGCTCCCCATGCAGTAAGGTTCTTTATTCTCAAGCATTATCGTTGCTTTGAAGTTCCTAAAAGTGAGGAGTTCAAAAGATTCCATATCTGGTGTGAAGCTGTAAGGAATGCCTCTGCTGTGAAGGTTACATTGCAAGATGAAAGCAAACTTTTAGATTCTTACAAAAGATATGCAGATGCCAGTGCTACATCTCAAGTTGCTGATGCCATCAGAAAGGGAGGGACAATGCCATAATCATCCTACTGGTATTTCACTTTGATCCCATCAGAAAGGAAGGTCCTAACCCTTAACCTTCTTATTTCACTTTGATCATGCACTGAGGCTGGAATTTTCAGAATTAAAGTCTTGCCCCATAAATCCATCTAATAGCTCTTGATATGTGTGTGCAGTAATGTTAATTATCTGTCATTGTAATGTAGATGGAAACCTTCTGCATACAGACCATGTAATTTTTTTTTACCTTCAAGGGAAAGTAGAAATGAACCTATTGGTTAAGCATTGCTTCATTACAACATGCCCAGGAGATGGTGCTTTCAGATCACTGGGTTGAGAGTAATCCTCAAAAAGACTGTTGAAGTCTTGACAGCCCAAGGAAGTCACCAACAGGGTCAGGTGACTCTCATGATGACTTGACTCTGGTGATTCCCTCTCCTCGGGTTCTCAAAACTTCAGTGTTTACCCTATCCTTTACCTTGTTTTTCTGTTTGTTAGTCAAATCCATGTGCTTAAGCATAATTATAATAGACGTGCCTAAACAGCAGAATCTTATCCACGTATCAAAATTTAATGGTATGAATAGGTTGGCAGGTGAAAAGATTTAACCCAAAGGTGACTAAGCCCTGAAAGATGAGTATTTTGGTTTGTTATGTGCTGTAACACTCTCAGGCCTCTGTTTCAAATGTATTTCAACTGATGATAAAATTGTCTTAAAACTAGAGAGCTTGCCTCATTTTTGTGTTGATCACAGTCAAGACAGATTACACTGTATTAACCCTTTAACTCCCAAGATCTGATTGTTAATTCTCCGCTCTAACTTCTACACATTTTCTTGGAAATAGGTTGCAAAAATTTGGAGTTAGATAAAGATAACAACTTCTACCCAATACATTTGAGTATTAACATTATCTGTTTGCTGGATAGCGCACTGGATATTGTTAGTAGAAGTTACTTGTTAATCACTTTTGGGAGTTGAAAGGTTAAATCTCAACTCCACAATCTGAAGATAACTTCACATTTCAGAATTTCAAAAGTTAGACCTTACACATGCCAAAACTTACATGTATAGCAAACAAAAATAAATGTTCAATAAATTTTGTGGTTTATGTTCTAGAGTACTTTCTTCTTTAGCTATGAGTGGTTTGAGAATGTCCCACAGAAAATATTGTAGAAGTTTAACACAGAATACACAGGTCTTAAAAAAGTCAAAAAATGTACCAGATGAATTTGTTACTCTACCTAATTCCTATTCTAAGCAACTAACAATATGTGAACTATGCTGGGATGAGAGTATGACACATACAAAGTTAAAGCTGACAGCCACGATTACAGGACTGGCAAAGTATTTTCAGTAACATTAAATTGCTGATCGTAGTAATAAGTGTTTTCTTTAACACCCATTCCTGTTGGTACATATAATTAAACATTTTCTTTTTCTCAGTCCAAAATTACACTATTTGTTGTGACACATCACCACCCAACCAAGAAAACATCCTCCTATTACTCTTTGAATGGATTTCTAAGGAATTGTTGACCCTTTGCGAACAGCATCTGCAAGCTCAGATTTGGCATTACCCTCAGCATAAGGCCTAGCATTTGCCAAAACCTTATCTTTATTTGCCTGAACTGCTTTTACTGAAGGGTGATTTATTACTGCTTCTGCCCATACATTATATCTGCTGTATTCTTCAGTCTGTGGAATTTTAAAGCCACGGTAATGTTCCAGAATGTACATCCTTGAAGCCCATGGGGCAAACATGATGTCAACATATCCAAGTTCCTTTCCTTGAAAAAAGGGGCCTGACTGATCCATTGCCTGAGAAAATTCCAATATGTTTTCTAAAAATATTTCTCGGTATTCATTTTGCTCTTCCCGAGACTGCTTCATAAGGAATTTGTAATATGGTGGAATAAGCTTCTTTATGATAAAATCTCCCCACATTCGTGCCTTAGCTCTCTGATAAGGTTCTCGGGACAGTAGCCTTGGTGCGTTAGGCCAGGCCTCGTCAACGTATTCAATGCAAATATGGCTCTCATAGATTGACTTGCCATTGTGAACGATGCATGGTATTAATCCACGAGGGTTTATGGCTAGCCACTCAGCAGACTTGTTGTAAGGATCCTGCTCTACGTAATCAAAATCAATTTTTTTTGCTAACATTGAGATCCATGCTCTGTGTGCAAATGGACAGAACCAGGCACAGTACAGCTTCGGTTTGCTTTCTGTCATCATGCTGAAAATTGAATTAATACTGTTGATACGGTACAAAGCAACATTAAAATCAGACAAACAGAAAGCAGGGGTCTGGCGATGACTACAGTCAGCACATCGTTGCTGTCTACTTCCAGTCGCGTTCAATTATTCTGTTTTATTCCGTACCAGTAGAGTAAAGAACAACCAAGTATAACCCTTGGACTTAACAACCGAGGTCTCTCAAAGGAATTTTTGCACCGGACGATTAAAAGGAAATTGCCCTTGTTGCAAACCCAATGCAGCGGACACGGGGTGTTGTGCACTGGAGTTTGGGGAGCGTCAACCACAGTGTAGGAATTGACAACACAAGTTGATTCAACAACGTCTAGTGCTATCGTCTGACTATCATACACATGCGGTGAAAACTAAAAAGGGGAAATTGCCATGTACAAGATCAACAAATGGGCTGAGACT